AAGGAACGACTTTATTCTTTTTTATATTTACAAATATACAAAAATAACCAATAAAATTTCTAACAAAAACATCACAAATGCATCTTGACAACTTACTTGTTGTTTTTTTCCTCGTTTCTGTCGCACACTTACTTTCTTACCACGTTCGGCGACGATATTTTTATTGAAATTGATGTCCGCATTGAATAGATGTTCCTTCGAGGCTCGTCTTTTTTGCGCGACATCGACGTGAGAGCCTCCTTCGTCGTTTTCTTTTCCCCGAACCAACAGCGTCGTGACATTTTATTCATTTTCTTCGTCTTCAACGACGACGGCGGCGGTAAAACGCAGATGCACTTCGAACCGGACGAGTATAGACAAGTCGATTTACGGCCAAAAACTTTATTTACTTTTATTTATCCAGGAGAGCAAAAAAGTGATATGATTTTCTCTGACTTCCTGAATTGACTAGATTGTTTTCATTTAATAATTATAAAATAAGAGATATTGAATCATATAGAATAAATTGATCGAAAATGAGTTAATATGTGAAGTCGTTGTAAATATGGTTACAATGGTGATAATGAAGCTGGGTTGGGTATTATTCTGTCGGGAATTCTCCGATATTTGCTCTATTGTTGTTACTCGAACACGCAGTACATCATAAAGCTAATTAATTTGATATTAGTATGTATTGTTTGATTAATAAACTTGGAATGTAAGCTGAAAGGTTACTGTATAAAATATTTTGTAATGGTAATCACAGTGATCTCATTGATTTATCACAAGGAAAAGATTGTCAAAAATTTTAAATTTGGTTATTAGTTGTTCCATTGTAAAATAGTTTCTTTTCAAGGAAGAACTTGTGGCGATTCTTGCATTATTAGTAGAGTAGTGAACCAATTCTGTTAATCAATTCTGATTCTCATCTTCAAGTTGGTGGACCCTGGAAACCTGAATAACCCTGCGGAAAACTGTGGGTACGAGTCCCAGTGAGAAACAGGGTTCGTGTTAACAAGGACAGGAGAAACGGCCTTTCGAAACGAAATCGACCTAGGTAACAATGACTTAACGCTGTGCTATTGGAACTTGAAGACTTTAGATTTTCACACTCTGGGACATACAGATACTGGAAAAATACAAGGCTGAGACAACCGCCATCCAAAAAGTTATAAAGGTTATAATTAGTTTCGAATCATCCAACCAGTAAAGAAAAATTTGAGGATATGTTCATTTTTATCAATAAATATTATTTAATAAAAAGACTTTTTTAATCTAATTATTTATTTCCATTTCTTTTAATTTTTGAGTTAACATCAATTACAATTGAGAATTAAAGTTAAAAACTGTTATTTTATGTAGTTAATGTAGTCAGTTATACAGCAAATGTGGACTAAAGAAAATATGCCCGAGGTTCCACTCCTGGAGATCATTTGCTCTATCCATAAGAATTATTCTCCAATGTATACTATGTGAAAGACTACTTCTTTATATTAACCAACAATTGTTATACATCAGATCTTGGTGAACACATAACATCGACACAGTAAATATGGTCCTCAACTACAAATCCGCTTATGACAGCATGGTACGGTCCAAACTATATAATGGCCTATATAGCTTCAACAGTTCAAGAATACAAAATAAATGACATTGTCTCCAAACTTATCACAGATGGTAGGAACTTATACAGCACTGATAGGTTCAGTCAGCAGCTATAGCCTACAAATAAATGAACAAAATGCAAAGGTCATGTCAGTAACTACCTCGATGCGTATCATTTCTTCTTCAAAAAAAATTCTCGTTTCAGTTTTAAAAATTTATTTTTACGCAATATAAAATTTGTTGAAATACTTTTTAATTAAATGTGGAATTTTGAGATTGAACATAGTGAGAAGGATGACCGTAATTGAATGCAAAATTTACTTTGTGCTTAATTTAGGTTTCATAATAGCGTTAGAAATTGTCAAACTATGATTACAAGTTAGGAAATGGCGGGCGCGGATCCGAATCGTTCGTCCCTCGTAAAGTTGAACCTCGCAGTTTCGAAACTCCACCCTGATGATGAACTATACAACAACCCTTGCGAACTTGATACCATTTAGTTTTCAACACAATGCTAAAGAACAACTACATCAGATACAAGCCAAAACATCAATAATATTTCAAATTAAAATCAATAAAGTACTAAATTTAATGTTCGTAATTATACACGTGATTTAAATATATTTTCGTCAGGTTTGTTAAGGGTTATGGAAGTTGGTTTCTCCTTTCGTGGTAACTAGTCGTAACGTATAATAATTAGTAAGGACATTATTCTAAAGCAACGGACTTTGGCGAAGGGAGTGCTTTAGATTAGCACGGGGTTGATTTATTATTGTGCAACTCGCATACGCGATTGTTTACACCGACGAGGCTAAGGTCCGTATACTGGTGCTATGTGCAATTAGGACGTTTTGGTTCGACCATGCGAAAGACCTACTTTATCGGAAACGACCGGCAATAATTCCATCCGGTTCGATTGACTCTGATGTATTTATTAGACCAAAAACGGGGTGAATCTCTCGCTAGTGCGTTCAACGCCACCAATCTCTGAATAATGGACAGAAGATGGAGAGTTGCGTTTCAAATTCTCCCTCTCCCTTTTATCATATCGTGTTTGAACGATTTTGATTGCGTTTCGAAAATTGTTTTAATTAAAAGACAGAAAATGTAGTGGTAATATTTTTCGGGGGATTGTAGACAAAAAAAAACAATCAGAATTATAGATGGTGTCACGTTCGACATGTCAAAAGGTGAAATATGCTTTAGTATAGCGGAAACTGCGGCGTCGTTATTCGCAAAACCAGTAACGATATATCAAAAAATGTATGTCGTATCGTGGTAGGTATTGATTTAGGATCGAATGTTTTTCAAAGAGCTTTGAATTTTTAGAAGATTTATATCGTTTACAAATCATAGATTTTCAACAAAAAATTTTAGAACACTGAACCAAGAACTAACACTAGGATTCTAGTTCTAGGTCTAGTGTTAGTTCTAGATAATTTCATCGAACTAATACTAGAACTAAAAGATACCTATTCGACTTTGTATGCATTAAAATTGTTCATTCAATCAGTTTAAAGTGCAAATTAAAAATTTTTCACATAAAGAACTTGTGGCCATAACGGACATTCCCTTCCCCCATATTAATGTCCGTTATATCGAGGTTTTACTGCAATAACAAAATAATTTCTTTTAGAATCAAATAGAAATTATTAAAATTTAAAAAACGTTTAGATAATTAACCTTTTCGTATGTAAATTTTTGTTATTTGAATAATACTATATCATTAGGAGCCCCTCCCATCTCCACTGATTGCCGGTGAGGACCCTAAGTCTTGGAGCAACCTCATTACTGCACGAAATTGTGGAAAGAACAAACAAATGTTGAGAGTTTTATAAAAACAAAAAACGCTTTGAACGTTGTAATATAATAGAAAAAAAAATAATATGATCATCAAAAAAAATATTACAACTCGTCTTCGAGATATTTCCGTCTCTGTAATTTCACTATCGTTTTTTGAAGCAAAACGAGTATCTGACTTTAATGGTGTTTAGAAATGCATTTTGTTTTCCCCGCGTATATCTGTGCCAAAATCATGACGTTATTACATTTTGCAACTTTCAGCGAAGTTGGATTGTTGTATACTGGGTATAGTGTTGGTACGGCATCGATAGACAACGTTGCGTTTAGCTGCTCCGCCCCCATTATTTTAACTTTTCGTGGCGTTAACAGCAAAATGGTTTCACAGCGCTTAATAATCCCTTGATTTATCCACTTTATGTCGTACATGAATACATTATTCTTCGTAATTAATAAGTATATATCATTTCTTTTACTGTTCTCTATAATGTCGTAGGTAGTACTTTATGTTATCAAAAGACGCTTTATTTTTGTATTACGTAACCGACATCGTTGATGAACCACAATTCTGACATCTATCAGAGTTTGGATGGCTAAATTTGATATTCAAGTTGCCACAGAAAAAAATTTTGGTAAAAATCACGACCTTTAATATCTGAGTACAAATCTATAACGAATCTTCTGCCACTATCGGCATCGCCATTTGCAAACATTTTTTTTCTTTATCATTTTCCATAGGGATCAGGAAAGAGTTGAAAGGTTTTTTGTAATCAGTTCAACCCGTTTCCCAGATATCCTATAAAGCGATGCAAAACTTTTTCCTCCACATTTCGTTGGTTCCTCAGAAATTTGTCTGAACTTGATTCCCAATAAGTCAAACAACCTGCCCAGTATTTATCTTGACTTTGCTTCCAAGCCCAATGATTTTTTCAATACTTTTTTCCAACCGGCTTCATTCTGCACTTTCCAATTTTGCACTCATTTCACTTCTACTCTTATCATTCTACTCTGGGTATTATTTGGTTTTTTTCAATGAGAGTAGCTCTAGGAGTTGTCTCGTTTTTGCTCAGTCATATAAAGAGTAGCTGATGCTATCTAGCAAAAAATTGGAAATTAAATCACTTAGGTCATTATTGCATCAGAAAAATCTACAAATTCAAAAGGATGCTACTCCCTTAGGCAAGGTTGGTTATGCACGTAGATGTCAAAATGATTCTTAATTTTTTTACAATTTATTGCGAGCAAATATTACAAAGAAAAGAAAAGTTTTTGACTAAAGCCACAAGCTTTATTCAAGTTTTATAAGAACTTTCCACCCCAACGTTAACATAGTAGGATAGTTAGCCTCCAATGAAGAACTTGGCAAGGAACGCTTCTCTGTTTCCCAATCTACTTTACTTCCTCGACCATCCATCAAGCAATTTCGCACCGACGATAAAGTAATTCCCGAAAGATATTTGACAAGTTTAAATATTCATTCGAGGCGCGAAGGATCGACTCGAGCAGATAATAAGCGCCTAGAAACCGAAGAAAGGGCGCATGCTCCTCCGATTACCGCTCCGGTTTAACTCCGGTTTCGAACGGCGAGCGCGAAAACCATTTCAGTTTAGAATCATCGGTCATCCAACAAACAATTTTCCAAATACAAAGGGGTAGGGAAAAATAAGCGTATTCGTGGCGGTGAAAATAAGTTTCAAAAGTTGATTGATAAGAAAAGTTTTAATAAAAGCATTTTTTTATTGTACTACTTTATTATTGTTATTGTTTAATGATATGAATTTAAATTTTTTAATGTTAATTCAGTGAAGGTGACTTTTTGAAAATGACTTCTGATATTTTTATATGGTATTTGGTGGTGACATCGTTTATTCAAGGTATGTTTTTATTACATCAAAATTTAATTAAATTAAATTTAAACAATCCAGATATTATCGTTAATATTTTTACTTAACAATTCAATTAGTAAAAATTGTTTTCACAAAAGCTCTTCAACATTTCCATAATTTAGGTACCACCTCCCATTGTTATTGTTATTATTACATCAATACTGCGTTCGTGTTCGTTTTGTTTGTGTTTTATCTCCAAATAAATATTTGTTTTAGTATTATTTCACACTGTTTTCATAAAATAAACCAAAAATGTTATTATTTTTTTATTTTTTTCCCCAAATAAAATTATTTCATCACTCAATTTAATATTTTTCGTAAATATAATCAAATTTTCTTTCGACGCCTCTTCAAAACTTAAGTGAACTCATAAAGCCACCAATTACTGTAGATTATAAAAATTGTAGTTGAGTTTTTAGGGATGCCATTGCCGGGTAGTTTCCGGACTTGGTGTGGGTTGGCGTAAAAGCACTTTGCATTTGATCCAATTAACCGTGAAAAGCGGACCACTTCAAATTCATTGGTCGAGTTATAAAATAATTTTCTCTCGTTCCATTTTCCAACTTTCCTACCTTCGCGTTTACCCGCTAATTGGTCGCACTATTTAGAATTGAAGAGAGTGGTTGAATTTTACGTTTATCGTTTCAACCCTTTTTTAAACTTCCATTTCATTCGATTTTTTCAGTTTTATCCCATTTACTTTATTCTATGGCAGCGCGGGGGAATAGAAATTTTAATGGATTCTCATAATTCGGTTGGGACGATATAACTTCCATAATTTCAACGAAGGATTTAGCTTTGAAATTAATTCATTTAGCAAACACAAAAGGATTGTTGAATACTACCCCTCTCACCACACCCCCTCTTCGAAACCTATTACAACTTCTCTAATAACCTTGAAGAGGAGAACTAAATTTGCATAATTGTTTTTATGATTAATAAGATGTAGTTTTAAGTTCCAAAAACAGAATTTTAAAAATATTAAGTTTTCAATTAAAAAAGGATTTATAGTAAGTAAGATGATTTATTAAAAAAAGTACATAATTTTATAGAACATAATATATTAAATCAAAATACGAAAAATGAACTTAAACACGTATAAACACATTTGACGGAACACTGCGCGGTGAAAAATGCGCGATTGTAGCTACGAAAGCGAGTTTTTCTTCTATATAATATATATTCTGTGACATTATAATAAAATTAAGGGTGCAGGTTGGTTTTTGATAAATGTTTAAATATAGGTAAAAGGCCGTACGCGGTTGTATTGGTGGTTGTCTGCTTAGTAATAACCAGGCAAGTCCTAGACTTGCAAAGTAATTTTTGCTACTATCTAATAGTTGACGAAAAAGTGTTTTGTATAATTATTTAGTATAAATTTCTAAATATTTGTATAATTTGACATTTGGAAATGTGGTTATGGGAAATAAAGTTATGTACATTTATTTTGATGAACCTTATTTTTTAACTGTGCATTACAATCATTAAAACTTCTATTTTTGTTAAAATTATTATATTCATCTTTATCTTGTACAGTACGTGTTATTACTTTACATAGCTATTTATTTAATTTCTTTTCCCCTAGAAAAGAAGAAACGGGGAAGAAAAGAAGGGCGAAGCCCTTGCGTTACTCCCGAGCGCCTCTACGCACAATTTTAGAATCACTGAAATACAGAATTTATGATGTTTTGTTTTAAAATGAAAAAATAATCATTTCCTGTAAACATCCTTAAAAATTTAAGATGCAAATTAAATTTATATTAAAATGTCGTTATACAACAAGCGAAGTTAGAGAGCGAAAATACCGGGAAAGACGCGCTCGCTGTGTTAATTTTCCACGCCAGGAACGATAATGAAAATTCTGAAAGTGGAGGGGACACTAATTTGACTCTGCGCAACCTTCCACGTTCATTTTCCACTATCTAATAACACTTCCCTCATTTTTCGAAGAAAAAAATAATAAATATCTAAAAAAATTTATTACCTTGAAACTTTTTAAAAAGAAAATGTTAAAAACACTCGAATTATGTACCATCTCAAGATACAACTTCTTTTAAACACTATTTCAAGTGGAAACGGGTTACGGAAGCTTTTAAAGTAGGAATTATTAATAAGTTTTAATGCTCGAAGGAAAGGTTCTTGTGTTTACAATCTCAGGAGTTATATAGCGATTTTCATGGTTCTTAGAATTTTCTTTTCTAAAAATAATGTTCGCACTTTGAACAGTTTTTACGTGAACGGTCTATATTTTGTATTTTCCCGGCGCCTCCACCATAATTTGAAAGTGTTAAAAATCGATCTATCTTTTTATTGCTACCTGGAACTTTGTAGTAATTTTTACTAATCGTTGGCGGAAGATAAACAACGGATTAACATGTACTAAGGGGGTGGTTGGGTGATTGTTTTCCGATCGGACAACTGCGGAAATTGCGCCTCGTCGACGACCGCAAATCACTGGGACCCGATTGAATCGCGTCACTGTCCCATTAACCAACACCCCTCGCGATTGTCACCACTTATGGGACATTGACCGATAATTATCGGCAGTTCACCATCAGAACCACACACCTGATTTGTGTGTGTGTCCATGATCGAAATTGCAGTTTGCATTTGACATCCGAGTAACACGCGATAGTCCCAATGGACAACAAGAGAGAATTTTAACGATAACACAAATTGTTGTGAATAAAAACATCATTTTTTTAAAGTTTATTTGGAATAAATTTTATGGATATAGGAGAGCGTATAAGTTGTAACGCACAGGTACAACTTTTCAAATTTATATTCACATGGGGAAAACTCTTCTGGAAGCCGTAATAAGACCAGTTTAAACTGGTGATATTCGTATCCCGGGCAATCTCCACATCCCCAGCGTATACTTCTTCTTGAAATGCAAATTTTGCACACGAAACTAGGGCTTTATCTGTGGCACTCCACACATGTTTCAGTTAACGCCTCATGCAAAATGAATATCAACTTTATCTCTTTATTCCAAATATTTAAAACGATAAATATCTCAGTATAGTTTATAATTGCGGTTGTACTTATAGTAAAACCTCGATATCACGGACTAATACCTCTAAAGACGTACGGTTAAACCCGAAACTTACTACTTTTAGATCTAGTATTAGTTCTTTTAATTCAATGAAAAGTATATAACAACGGCAAAACACTACAAACCGCTTGGACAGATACTGATACTAAAAAAAACACCTACTTACTGCTTCCAAAACGTTACATACTGCTGGAAAAGATTACTTTTAGAAGCTGCTAGCGGGGAGAGATTATTATCTGCTTGAAAAAACAAGATACTGTTTCCAAAAGACTACTGACTACTTTCAGAATGTTAAATATTGTTAGAAAGACTGTTAACTGCTTGGAGAAAGCCAGATACTGTTGGCAGAAGACTACTTATTGCTTTCAGAAGAATATATGCTGCTGCCAAAACACTACTAAGTTCTTGAAGAAGACCACACATTGTTGCCAATCGAATACTAACTACTTGGAGAATACTTATTGTTTGTACAAGGCTAGAAGACTACTTACAGAAGATTACAATATTACTGGCTGAAGATTATTTACTGCTTGCACAACACAAGATATTGCATTTAAAAGAGTACAGAAAACAGAAAAGGGTTGGGGTGCTTGCTAAGAGTACAAGTGAAAAAGAGCAATATTGTTAGGAATAAAATTTGCTACAACTTTTGTTCTAAAAGTCTTTTTGTAAAATGCTCTGATTTCCGAGTTAAATTTTCATATTTTCGTATTTTTGTCAATATTTAAGCTAGCTCTAGAACTACCGTCATTGATCTTTACATCGTATAAAGAACTCGGGTAGTTTTCCTGTATTTAAAACGATAAATATCCCAGTATAGTTTATAATTGCGGTGGTAATTACTTTCTTTGGTAATAAAATCGAGGTTATTTCTGACGATTATCATAACAAAAGGGAACGATTTTAGAAACGATTCCGTGTAAAGCACGCAAACCATACGAAATGCAGAACGAACCTAATTAGCAATTGAACCGTTGAATATGCCTTTTTAAAGGAAAAACGGAACCAAAGGATAACAATAGAAACGAAAATTGTGCAGTCTTTCCGCTTTTCATGCCCTACCGGCAAATACTCTGTAAGGAGGACTTCAAGGCTTATTGTAGTACGACAAATAGTTCATTATGTGTCCCTCTTTGAGTCCTCATTACTACAGGATTTCAATTCGTGCTTGGTTCGGTTCTGATATAAACAGATTTTTAAGAAGATATTTCTTTTCGGTTTTTACGTTTTTAGCGTCAAAACGCATGTAAATAATTAATAATGAAAGCTGGTTGAAACTTATTCGAGTGTTTGCTTTCGCTCGACGAGTAATTAATTAACAGTTGTTGAATTCCCAACGCGGGAAGATACCCTCAGAAGGAAAATTTAAAGGAGGAGAAATGGTGATAATGCTATTTGCAGCCGTCTCGTTTATTATTTACTTTTACAAAGACTTTTGTTGAAAAAATTAAAACAATTTCCACAAGATTTTTAGACGACCTAAAAAATAAAAACCAACGGAAATCGTTTCAATTTTAATTGGAACAAGAAAGAAATCTTTTTTTAACGTTTTAATAACGAAGAGTTTTTAATGATTAAAAAGTCGATTTATTTATTTTTGGTTTTCTTTTAGATTCTTTGGGGGATAATCCGAAAGTGGATCCAGCAAGTTTACCGATGTTTCTCACGTCCAGCCAACTTTTCAAGGTCACAGAGAAGGAAACTGTCGTTCTTCCATGTGAAGTGGCTAATCCTGGTAAGTGTCTAAAGCCGTTTAGCTAAAAGGGGTTTCGCTTTAACAGAGTAACACCAAAGAGTCTGATCACATTTATCCCTTTTCCTTTTCTTTTTATTTTTTCTTTTCCTAAACATCCCAAATAATAAATTCAACAATTTATTACAATTTAACATCAATTTTATATAAAAAAGTATTCATTTATTCAAAAAAAATTTTATCAAAATGTAGTACAGTTGAACTTAGTTTTCATAAACTCAGTAACTAACCCTCAAAAATGAATAATTAAATGGTACAAACGATTGGTCCAGTTTCGAAAACCACTCTAGTTTCGTTTTCGGGCATTTGAGAGATGATGGTATCATATGGTCCCTTCATCCAGTCGGATCCAACCCGGAACTTTTTTAATTATAAACTCTGTCGAAACTACTTTACCGTAGGGTTCTTTGTTGCCCGGGAAATTAGATGGGCGGTGTGCGTTGATGTTTCACTCTCGAAGGGAAATTTTATTGCGCTCCCATCATGTCTTTTCATTCTTTCGGTTTTGCTTTGAACCGAGCTTTTAGTTTGTTTCTCTTTGAAGCACCAATTCTAAAAACGATATAACGATTTATTTTTGCCTCATTATGCTTTTTATTATAGTTTTGAGGTTATACTTCATATAATTGCAGTCAGTTTTAAATAAATAAACGATTATTAACGAAAATTATCAATAATAATAGAGATAGAAATAATTGTCAAAACCTCAAAATAAGATTTTGATTCACTTATTGATCTTGTTTTAGCTGTGCAATAATAAGAAAGTTATAAATCGAATTTTACAGTATTTAACTTTATTGGGTGAAAGTTATTGTATAGAAAAGTTATCACCAACGCAAGAACAATAGCACCAATAGAATAAGAAAATACTTCTGTAAGCATAGAAGTTAGGTAACTTAATATACACACAAACTTCATTTGTTGCTTGTGCATTAATGGGTAGAACCCTTCCGCCATAATTTTATTGTAATTTATCATTATCATCACAGTGCTATCATGTTATTCATCTGTCAGACAATTATTTATCCAATTTTAATATCTTCTTCTTGCGAAACAATCATAACATATCATGGATCTTACTAAATATTTAATCCTCGTGATAACCAATAATATACTAGATTTTTGGCAAACCAACTGATCGACGAACGCATTTTAATGCATAAAAGATATCCTATCCGAAAGCACATATATTAGATTTTGGCTGTCAACAGGATAAAAAATTCGCACTGAAACTTTCAAATTCATACGCGATGAACTTGCACATCACTAAATTGGGAGTGTTAGTGCGGATAACGCAGCTTTGTTCCCTTGAGCCTCCAAATCACGTTTAACACATCGTTACTTCTTCCTTTAGGGAACACACACACCTTGTTTATGTAGAGTCCACTACCAAACACGTTACAAGAACCAAGTAAATTAATCAATACTGAATGTATCATTGGATCACGATTCAAAATGTGTGGAACTGACTCAATTATTCAAAAAAAAAATTTTTCCGCACAGATAATTAAGATTCTTTCAGATATTGCAATAAAATATATATCCTTTTTATTTTATAAAATTTTCCGACGTAATTTTAAAGAATCTCGAGCAAGAAACAAAATTTATTACAATCCACGTTGTGCGTGCATCATTTTCATGTAAAATTATTTTACCTTCACGTGAACCGATGGTAGATCCCAACCTAACTTCCCCAGCATTATTATTATTATTTTATGATTTACGACACGAACTAAAATACACCTTAGACACACCACACATTTTATATCTACACCTTATCAAAATACAAACTTGCAAGTATAAATAACTAAATATTATTTTATAAGTTAATATTTAAAGTTAATATTTTATTGTCTCAAGGTACAGTGAAACATCGATATAACGGACTAATACGGGGGAGGGAATGTACGTTATGGGAAAACGTCTGTTATATGAAAAATTTTCATGATTTAAAATGTTTGTAGTTCTAGGTCTGGTGTTACTTCTAATTTTACACTTGTGATAACCGTTGATAGTTATCTCAATAAATTAAATTGGATGGTGATGGAATTGAAAGATTGTTTCGGTACAACGTTCTATTTATTCATTCTTACTCTACGATTACATATACTAGACTAAAATTTTAAAACTTAATATTATTCGAATAAACATAAACTAATTTGCAAGTTCAACATTTTTATTGAATGTCTTCAATTCGTACACCTCCGAATTACACGCATCGATATTACATAAATTTCGCAATCACACTAACACTGTCACTAGAACTAATACTAGACCTAGAACTAGAAACATTTGTATTTAGCCGTCTTGAGACACGTTCTACTAAATCCGAAAAATATACAACAATCTAACGCTGAATAACAATTAAAATTAGAACTACCGTCCTTGATTTATACAATGTATATACAACTCTGGGAATACACCCCGTTTTTCTAACGACATGGAGTAAAGTAACTTGAGGAATAACCCGAGTTGGATTCTATCTTTGAGCGCTAACATTTATACTTAAATATACTGATGTATTAAATAAATAATATTAATAGTATGAATTAAAAATATTTTACTATACTTTATTTTAATAGGTCATTACATTTTGGCTTGGAAGAAAGGAATTGCGGTTCTTTCAGCGGGCAGCGTAAAAGTGTCTCCAGACTCGCGTATAAACCTCATGAACGGTTATAACTTGGAAATCAAGTCGGTGGAAGCTCAGGATGCTGGAGATTACGTTTGTCAAATTGGGACGTTGGAACCGAGGGAAATCACACATACTTTAGAAGTTTTAGGTTTGTTGAAAATCTCACCGCATTCTTTTTTATTGTTTTTCTCAAATATTTGATTGTTTATCATTAAGAATAAAGATTTCTCTTAAATGCTTAAACATTAACCATCAGAAAACAAAAATTAACACTAGAATAACACAGATTTAGCAGAATGCATTGTCCCCTTGTTTAACCATCATTTTAACTCTACTCACGATTCTATCGACAACCCTCACCGCAAACTAATTAACTTCCCGTACAAACGGCCTGAATTATTTCATGTGGAATCGGAACTGTTTCGTATTTGACGATATAGTGTTCGTTTTCGTTTCGAAATGCAAAGCCAATTTTACAGTTCACCAAATATGCTTACCTCTTTGTTGATATTTCACCTAGTCCAGTGTAAATCTCGTCTACTATGCTATATCTATCAAGAGAACAAAATCATCATTAATCAATAAATGCTTAATCCACATTATTTGTGTTTGTGTATTTAAATGGTTTCAGTTCCGCCAAAGATACAATATATTACCGCAAACGGACGTGTGGAGGCGAAAAAAGGAACAACGGTTATTTTGGAATGTCGAGCGATCGGAAATCCGAATCCCAAAGTTACGTGGACACGAAAGAACAACCTGTTGCCGAGTGGGGATCAAATGTTGGTTACACCATCGATTACACTTCAAAATGTCGATAGACATCAAGCCGGAACTTATCAATGTTCCGCTAATAATGGAATTGGTGAACCGATTATAGAACAAATTCTTTTACATGTTATGTGTAAGAAGTTATATGATAAAAAGAACATTTGTTATTAATAAAATTTTATTTTCTTTTTAGATCCTCCTGAAATTACAGTAGAACGACCAATTGTACATTCAGGTGAAGGATTCGAAGCTCAACTAGTTTGCATAGTTCACGGCGAAAGTCAACCGGAGGTAACACGCCCATCTTTTTAATTAAAATTGAAAGTCTAGTGCTGTCTGGCGTTTTCCGAAAATTCATAATTAGAAAATTAATGACTCGCTCCGCTTAAACTACCCCGTTTAATAGCTCTTTAATAACACTTTGAACGGTCATTAATGGGATTTCGGGCGCCAACTTAATTTCCGGGCACGTTCTACTATCTTCAACAATTTTGACCATGTTTTAGGTACTTTGGTATAGAGATACGATGCAATTAGACACAACCGAACAACGAATTATGCAATCACGCGGTTCTCGACATACTTTAGTTATAAGAAAGGTGCATCGTTCCGATTTTGGTAATTACACTTGCGCCGCCGACAATCCTTTAGGTAAAACAAGAAAAACAGTTCAATTAACAGGTAAAATTTTAATTAAAAAAAAGAAATATTACTCCTTAATTAAAAAAAAAAATTTTGTTAAAGGAATACCAAATTCCGCAAAATTTAGTAGCGCATCAAGAGGATTATATCGCGATAGTTACAATATAACCTGGGCTGTAGAATCGTTCAGTCCGATACAAGAATACAAATTACTTTTCAGACGTTTACCAGACAATTTAGGTCACGCAGATGGGTATCCTCAGCCGCTTCATCACCAGAGTCAAAGACGGACTACCGTCGTGAAAGAATCCACGATGAACGTTGGTTACGGATATCAACATCAATTTAACGATAGAAGAACCGATTGGAGGGACGTAATCCTGCAAGCGAATCCGGTCTCCCAGTTTCCGGGTGTTCAGTCGATGAGCTACGTCATCAAAGGTTTGAAACCGGGACAAAATTATGAGGCGAAAGTGGAGGCACGTAACCGGTATGGATGGAGTCCAATTTCCGAACCGTTCACCTTTCAAACTGCAGATACAGGTTTGAGATAAATTTAATGTGATTTCTTCGAGATTTTGTTATACTTTTTTATTACAATTTTATATTAACTTTAGTTGAACATTCTGAAAATTTTCGCTTGGTATTGCTAGTTTATTAAATAATTTTTTATTGGTTTTAATTTTCAACTTAATTCTAAATTTTAATAACTCCATTATAAATTTAATTGATTTAATTCGACTGATGATGAAACTGTTAATATGCAAATCCCGTACCGAGCAAATATAATTAAATTTGGCAAGTTCGGAAGTATTTTCAATTTATCTTCCGAGTTTATTTTATTTCCACGCCGGCGTACGGGAATGAATGTATGCATCACATAGATTTTCAGTTCTCACCAAACTTAAGTTTGGACATATTCGTTTTCCAGAACAACGTTGTAAACTAGACTATACTCTTTGCCCCAACGTGCTTTGCGAAACTGACAATGCATATTTACTTCGTATGTATGCTCAGAGGGCGCGGTTTGGCAACCTAAGTAATTTTGTATTAATACAAGAACTTTAAACGGACAGTTTATATCAGTAGGTATACCTAGATACTACACATACTGTTGTAGTTTACGCTTCCAAAACGCTAGATACAGATAGAAAAGACTACTATCCACTTGGAAAGGCGATATACTGTTCTCTAAAGAGTTGTTAAAGACTACGACCTGCTTGAAAAGAACAGATACTGTTTTCAAAATACGACTTATTGGTTCCTCAATGCTAGATACTGTTGGCAAAAGACTAAAAAAACAAAAGATAAGATTACAATCTGCTTGGAGAAGACTAGAGAGTACTAACAAACAACTACAAACAGTTCTTATGTTAAGTTGTAATAGTTTCCAACTTTTTATTAAACTGCAACTTTACCATACCTTGTTGTAACATTTTTGATCAAATTTCTTTTCTGTAATCACACTTTCAGGCTTTTTTGAAATCATAAAAACATTTTTATTGGGTATTTACATTTTTCGTTTAAATTATTATTAATTTCCTTTTTACTTCAGATATGAATTATCCAGAACGACCTCAAACACCAGGACATATCTACAACGGTAAGTTATTAAAAATTAATTGTAAAGGATATATTTATTTATTAATTTTTTAATCTTCCAGAGAATGAAATCCATGATTTCGAACCACGAATATATTTTAATAACGCCAAGCCATTAAAGCCCCAATTAAATTCAATCTTAATAATACCTCTTTTTAATGTATTATTTTTTCTTTCACGTTAATAAATATTTGTTCCAAATTTAATAAAAAATCAGTAATCGAGAGCAAAAAAAATAGAGATTCCGTTAAGAGAGCAGCACTTAACGGATGACTGAAGCACTTCGTATTCGTCATTATTCGCAATTTGAGGGTGGCATGTCAGAATCAGCTGACGGTTAAAAAGCGGTGATCGATGCGATTTTCCCAACTTGAGTGATTCTTTTTTTTATTTATTAATAAAGGGGGTCCAAGTAGTGAGAAAGAAACAGGAAATGCCGGAAAGAATTATGGATTTAAAGACTTTGAAATGTAAATAAGTTAATTAAATGGTTAATTGTTATATAAAAAATAAATACGAAGGAGCTTTAAATGTCGCACTATTAATTAATTAATTTAAACAAATAAACCTATAAACATATTCAATTTAAATGATTGATGTAAATGTAATGTAGCTATAAAACTTATAGAGATAAGGTAATAATTTTAAGTTTGTATGTCGTACAAAAAAAGAACTGAAAATGATTTAAAAAGAGAATAAAAAATATTTATATTATAAAAGAATTCTATTTTTTTATTTATTATTATATCTCTTTATAAAGGAAACATTTACAGATAGTTAACTTCATTTACAAAAACGTATCACGTTCCGGTTTTCGTTAGAGGACATTTTTAGTAAAACAACCAGTAACAAAGACACAAAACACCGCCGAGGAGCTTTTGCAATTCTAAGCCAAATCCGAATAGAGAAGCACAACAACGTTCAAGCTTCGAATAATAAATATCCGGCTCTCCCCGAAACCGAACCTTTTTACTTTTTTATTTCATTTTAACGCCCCTGTTTACAAACCCTGTCGTCGTCCAAATAGTTTCGCCTGCCGTTGGAAAATTTGCATTTAGATGTCCTTTCTCGGATGGGCGAGGAAATAATTAGAACCAAATAGTGTACAAGAAAGAATGTAAACTAGATGAAGAAAACAAGAACTCAACTATTTAATAGACTAGTTATTTATGTTTTCTTCTTATTTATTAATTAATAAAAAAATCTTTCATACAAATAAGAAAAGAATCAAAACGAGATAAAAGATTCGAAGGAGTTACTACATTCCATTGTTCGGTTCGAAATTCCACCGAAAAGTTTTGCTCCAACAAACCCAAAAGAGAGACGACCGCGTAAATCACTTAAGTTTAAATTAAATTTTATCTCGACACAAAAACTATTTTGAGTGCCAAAGAAGTAAAAGTTCTAAAAACTTCAAAGATTCTAATAAATCAATGTTAAAAAAAAAACTCAATCGATTTGCTTTATGCGAATAATAAAGGTTTTTTTTTTTGGTTTAAAGAATTTAAAGGGGTTTGAAAAGAAGTTAAAAAGGATTTTGTTTGGTTTGCTAAGTAGACGCTTTGAGCTGCCGCGGCTTTTTGAATGGCTCGTAATAAAGGGGTTGAGAGGGTTCGGACCGTGTAATATTCCATCGAGCTAGAACATAATGAACCTGTGTTCCAAGGGAGGTTGTAATAAAAATCTTTGTACCATGTAAGAGGGTATTTAAGATAGGTCAGGTTATTCTATTTTACCTTGTACATACACGGATATTGTTTTATTTTTTAATTGAAAATTAATTTTAATTAATAAAAGTAAACAAGGCGTATAATATCAACAAATCATTACCGAATAGAAACCAACCCAATAATCACTATAATAAAATATTTCAGTGGTAATTAATTTTGACGTTAGAACAGATTATTAAAATCAAACAATTCGTTTCAGTTCAAAAGTTCAGAAAAACTTTTTAGTCATAAAGGTGTTTTAAGTGTCTATTTTAACATAAATAGATAGAAAATTAAAAATCCTTTAAAATGAACCCAAACTCGACCTATTTACATATGTCCAACCGTTATCGAGATATCTTAATTTTTAGCAAAACTAAATGGCAATTATTTGACATTTGATAGTTTATAGCCTAACTTTTTTAACTCAAATATATCATGTTCAGTATCAAATTAAAGAATTTTTGATTCTTATTGAGATCATTTCAATCTTTATCAAAAAATTACTTTCTCCTTTAAACAGTTACTCCATCCATCTAGTGGGAACCACCCAAACTAAATCGTAATTTTGACATTTCAAAACTACCAGTTGCATTCCTTCACAAGAAATAATCAATTTTTAAGGGAAAATTTTGATTAAACAATGATATCCTCAACAGAATATGTTTTTGAATATTATATCAACTTTGTATTTAAAAAAAAGAGATTTAAGTTTCCACGAAATGATTTTTCCATCGTAAATTAATTATAATTGAAAATATAACCTAACTTTATGTCATTTTCTTTACCTTTAATTTTTTTCTCTAATTTTTTAGGTGTTATAAATTTATTAGCAGTGAACTACAAATAAGAAATAAAAAAATAACTAACCAATTTTCTGTTCAGATTACAAGTCGTTTGTTTAATTTGCGGTGGCAAAAATGAGATAAAACTTTTTTTGGAATCACAAATTATTCACAACTGTTTTTTAAGTTGTATAACTTCGTAATGACTCGACAAACACAATTTTACACTTAAACCAGACCTTTAGACCCTCGCGTATTACATTATCAATAGAAACTCGTATTTTAAATTTAGTTATCATTTGACAAAACCGACGATTGTTGCAAGCCGTATTTATATTTGTATGAATTGGGACGAAATTAAAATTAAAGTCCCTTGGGGATTCGTAGCAGGTTTGTTAATTATTTAATTAAAAGAAATCTTTTCAGTATTCATTTTTTCAGCAAAATCATGGGGTGATTCAAACAATTTCCCCATAATCTTAATTCATGGCTTAAACGACAACGCTGGATCATTTGATACATTAATCCCTCTCCTCCCGCAACGTTTCAATTATATTTGTATTGATTTACCAGGTCATGGGCTTTCCTCTCATTTTCCAAGAACCCTCCCCATAGAATACACCCATTTATTGATGACTTTGCAAATAATCTTAGACGAATTGAAACAAGATAAATATATTTTAATCGGACATGGAATTTCTGCAACTTTATTACCTCTGTATGCTCAATTAAAACCAAAAAAAGTTGTAAAAATAGTTTTAATCGATTCAACTTATACTTTTGTTAATCCACCAGGTACATATTTAACGAGAATTGAAGAAGCAAACGCTTTATTAATGAAATATATTAATTTTAAACCTGAAAATCGAAAGTCTTATACTTATAAAGAAGCTGTGAAAAAGGTTATAAGAAGAAGACCTTTGGGGGTTTTAAATTATAAATGTGGTGAGCAATTGGTGAGGAGGATGGTGGAAAAAGTTGGCGAAAAGAAGTATATGTTTACCATCGATGGGAGATATAAAGCTTTGGTTCAACCATCGTTAAGTTTTAATTATGTGACTGAATTATTGGAAAAGAAACCGTTAAAATGTGATATTTTAGTATTGTACACATCGTATACTTTAGATATAAGCATCAAAATTTTTAAATACATGATTCCTTATTTGGATTTATTCAAGGAACATCGAATCATTATCGACGGGGATCATCATATACATCATACGCAACCAGAAAAAGTTTCTAATCATATCGTGAAGTTTTTATTAAACTAATTATATAATTAATTTATATGTAAATGTAAATAAAAACTTTTGTAACTAATTATTTATTTGAATTACTTTTGACATAAAATAAATCACCTGAAGTTAGAATCACTTCATAACACAAAAAAACGTTAAGCAAAAACAATTAAAAACATTTATAAATATAAATAAAAAGAATTTAGTTACATTACCCAATTTCATTTATACTCTTTAATAGTACTTTGTTAATTAATTGTAATTAAAATGATTAAAAAATCAATTTAACGTATTGCTAACATAAAACATAACCTTAAAAAATCAAGATAGGTTAATTGACCTTTGATATTTTAAACTAAAATATTAACGATTTTGTGGAGATAACACTATAAATACGAATACAATGACATAGCAAGTTTTAATTTTATTATATAAATTCAGATTTCCTCACAAGTGTACAAAAGAATTGTGAATAACTCAAATGAACACCAAGGAAATTAAAATTCCTGTCCCCTGGGGACACATAGCAGGTAAAAAAAATTATTTTTCATTTAAATAATTTGAATTAAATAATAACAAACACAAATTTTTAGCTAAAACATGGGGAAAAGAAGAAAATCAAACTGTAATATGTGTTCATGGTACTTTAGATAACGCTGGTTCTTTCGATACTTTAATTCCGCATTTACCTCAAAGTTTTTACTATGTGTGTATCGATTTACCCGGACATGGTCTTTCATCGCATTACGAAAAATATTTACCAGTAACTTTTCATAATTTATTGCTTCCTTTAAGGATCGTTTGCGAATATTTAGCAAGGGATACTTATATATTTATGGGACATAGTTTAGGAGCAAGATTATTAGTAACACACTGCCAATTATTTCAACAGCAAACATCAAAATTAATTTTAATAGATTCTACGTACACTCTTCCAAAACCTCCCGTTATTTATTTGATGTCGTTAGAAGACACTTATAATAATCTAATGAAAAGTTTAGACTTTAAACCGGAAGATAGACCTTCAATGACTTATGCTGAAGCTGTAAGAAAAGTTAAAGAAAGCAGATTTAGTGGTACATTAACATACGAGACAGCAGAACACATTACGAGGAGAATGGTTGAAAAAAATGGTGATAAATATCAATTTACTTATGATCCTCGATTAAAAACTATTCTCGAACCACCTGTTGATATGAAATATATCGAAGAATTATTAAAACTGTGTCCATTACAGTGTCCCGTAATTGTACTTGCTATGAAGGACACTGTGGAAGCTTTCGAGAAATATGAATTTTCTCATAATTATATGAATGTTATTCCTGACTCAGAAGTTCATGTTATTGACGGTCATCATCATTATCATCATACAAATCCAGAAAGTGTGGCTATATTTATATCTAAGTTTTTATTAGATCAATCAAAATTGTAAATGAATAATAATAAAATAATAATTAATTTTTGACGATTTTAGTGACAAGGAAAAATTTTTTTCATTGAACTGTTTAGATTGTCAGATTATTTGTCAAAATTTTGTTCGAAAAAACTAAAGAAAGAGCTATTTCTCGTTCCCTCCCGTAAAGAATGAAATTACATTCACCATACAAAACTTTTCTATATTCTTATGGTGTAACGCTTGATGAATAAAACCCCTCCACAAAAAAATATACGAAAATAACTCAAAAAATGAAGAAGCAATCAAGAAAAAACCGAGTTTTTAAGCCGACCATCCTTGAAGCAGCGTCAAAAAACGATATCAACACGAGAGTCATCATTAATAATTCCTATCAAAAACATACAGAAGGGGAATTTCATCTTAAAGATAAAAGTTACAAATGGGACGATTTTAACGCGAGGATTTCGAATTACATCAACGGATTATTACGGATTGGTAAAAATGGTAGAGAATCTTTTTATAACACTAATTTTTATCCTGTACCATTTTGGTATCAAGAAATGCTCGATGTCTTGTCTATTCACCTAACAGTGAATAATTAAAATAGGATTTTATTGTGCTTTTTTTACGTATATCAATAAAATTACAGTATAAAAGAATTACATTTATCTTAAAATTAAATTGTTTTTATTTTAATTACAGTTTTCTGTTTAACTTATTACAGATAACTATAATAAACATAATTTGACATAAACGACAATTTGCATTAAATGTCGGACAATAACAAAGACTTGAATTATGTGATATTTACCTCTTAAGAAAATAATATGTGGTTTTTAGTTAATTTTTTAGTCTTTCCATTACTATTTTTACATACGTATGTACATTCGTTTCTTAAGGAGTAATTAAACTTAAATTTGCACATTTTATTTAGATTTTCTCTAGGAGTTGAAATGAATGATATTTATAATTGTACGATATTAAGAGAAAACTTTGGGATATCCGTTTCTCAATTTACATTATGTGCAATTTCAAATTCCCATCCTATAAAATTGTGTGAATCTTGTATTGATCAGTACATAAACGTTGGAGAAAGTTACACAAATTTATCGAAGGTACAAGATTTTTTTGTCTAATGTTTAATATTAATAATTTATTGTAGTTTAAAGATGATAAAGATTTTTGTATATCACATTATATCAACTTGGATCGATTAGGCATTGTATCAAATATGTACGAGAATGTTTACAATCTTTGGAATAATGCAAAATGTTACGGTAAGGCTATAACAATACGAAAATTAGAGATTAATTAAACATTATAAATTTCAGAATGTTACGAAGTAATAAACAGTGTTCTAACCCACAATTTATCTCAAGAAACTATAGAATTTTTAAAACTTTATAACAGGACTCAAAAATGTATTGGAAAATATCCAAAAACGATGTGTGATTTTTGTATGGACCCTTATTTGAAATTAAATAATTATTATTATAGTATAAGTAATGAAAACGATAAAATCGGGATGTGTATGGATATAGTAGATTTGGTGAGCAATTTATAATAAAAAATGATATTTCCTTACAATTGAATCGTTTAAGATGAATACAACACGAACAGAATGGAGTGAAAAATGTTGTAAATACAGAAAACATTCAGAATACGCATTTATTGGTTCTTCCGTTGGAATTATGATCGTTACAATTTTATTTTACGTCCTAACTAAAGTTTTTATTGATAAAAAATCAACAAAAATTGTTACACGTAAGTTTTTCTACTTGAAAGACATGTTTGTAAGTTTTTATTTTAATTTTAGAACATCGTTTTGTTGAATCCTTATCGTCATCGAACAGAAGAGACAATAATTAAAAAATTAAGATTTGTAATCTTAAATTTTTGACATACATAATATGTAAAAAAAAAAAAATTCAATTTTATTATCAACTTTATTTCTCAAATTACATTATATTTTCAATTATATTAAAATAATATTAATAGATATAAACGAATAAAATTGTACATACATTATAATAAAAAAATTGACCCTAAATTATCTATGCCTGGCTTTTTTGTTATTACTTTTTTTAGCACTATTATTGTAATTTTTTTGTTTTGCGGACATATCACGATGTGGACTCGATCTATCGATACCGTTTTGAGTTCCATTCGATGTAAAAGTACCCCCTGAATTCGTCGAATGTTTTCCGGTCATCTTTATGCCAGAATCAATGTGATTAGATGGTGCCAAATTTGTGTCACTTGAATCTTCATTTGTTTGTGATTCGGTATCACTGTGTCTTTCATCTAAATTCAAAGAAAAAATCCCTTTTGATCAAATCAATTTGATAAAAAAAAGAATGTTGGATTTTTTTTAAAGAAATTTATAAAAGAAAAATAATGTACAAAAGCAGTAACCTAACGCTTGACTAGTAATTTTAATACTAATTCATAAATCAGTTGTTTGGTTTTAATAAAAATAATCATCTGATAAGAAGTGAAATTCATAACTTGAATTCTTACTTTTGTCGGGATTTACGTCTGCTATTCCACTTACAGCCTGAAACGTAATTTATTTTATAAAAAATTAAATTAAGAATTAATTATTTACAGCCATTGAGGTAATAGATGAGTGCGAAAACAATCTCTCGGCTTCTTTAAATTTTCTGTTCCTTTTATCGGCTTTAGAATTTGTAGTTTTGTTGCTCGACAAATAACGGTCCCATCCTCGTATTATATTCCCATATAACTGGGTATCTTCTAAATAGGAACCTTCAAAAGCATAGATTTGTCGTTCTAAATTAGCCAATGTTTCCTGAAAAAATAAATTAAATAACCCGCTTAACATTCTGTAAAAATAAGTATAAAAAAGAATTGGCAGCCCTGATATCCCTCAAATGTTTGACAACAACGTAACCTCAATCAAAAACTAAAACAACGAGATACTTCAAAAAGATTACAACCATTCCCTCGCAACTTTAAGGTTTATTTGAGAAATTCTTTACATCGACTTACAGCTATTTCAGCTTTCCTTTTAACCAATTCGGCGAGTTCTGAGCGCGCATCAACTGTACTCGAATTCTTTGTCGACATCTTTGTTTTTGTTGACAGTCGAGTGATACCAACAAATAAAATTACCAATGTTCCTATTTGCAACAGTTTTGCTCAAGTGTAAAGGTTATTCAATGTTTTTGATAAGAATAAGTGTTTATGTATTAATGAATGTAGTGCCTCGTGGTTAATCTAGTGGTTCTCTTGATATATTAAAATGTCAAAAAATGCTCTTCTTAGGGTCACCCAGATGAACGCTGGTTTTTTCGATAACGAAATTTATAAGATATTTGGCGAACACGTCCAAGAGATATTAACGTATTTACCGGTAAAGAATAATTATACATAATTTAGTTGCATTTATTTTTGTGTTAAAAACGTCATCTGTTGGCACTTTTTTGAAGTTAATAAATGGCGGGAAATTTAATTCTTGTTTTATTTTTAGCCTGGTTTTTCTGCGAAATTTCAAAATGAATTAAATTTAATTCTGCGTTTAATCATTTTTAATTATTCCATCTTAACATCGGATAGTACATTTGGACAGAAACTTATGTCGGTGAAGTATGATAATTTAACAAAGTTGAAAAGGGGGTTATACATTGTTCCAAGCTTTTTGGAGTATTTCAAAGAAAAATTTGAAGGAAAAATCGAAAATGCTGTTTTAAAAGATTATTTGAATAAATTTATTGCGTTGATACAAATTTTCCGGTTTTTAAACGTTTCTATTTTTTTGCGAAGTGGAATTCGGCCATTATTGATTGATAGATTATTGTTTTTGGATCAAAGTTATTTAAAGGATCATAATCAAAGGATTTATGATACTCAGTTTATGACCAGAGAATTGTTATGGGATTCTTTTATAGTAAGTTTAGTTTCTTAAAAGATGATTTTTTGGTTATTGTTTGTTCCTCAGGAACTTCTTGTTTACATTTTACCCTTAATTAATTATCACAAATTGAAGAGAACTGTAAAATACTTGAATCCATTCCATAAAAAGCAGAAACATTTTGATATAGAATCAAGGAATTATACTGTTGATACGAAATGTCCTCATTGCGAGGAGTATCCAATTTTACCTTCTCATATGGGGTGTGCCCACGTTTTTTGCTATACTTGTTTAAAGGTAATAGAGATTAAAGATAATAAAGATTTAAAAATAAAGTTCTTTTTTGACTCTAGGGAAATCAATTGGCTGATAATCAGTACGAGTGTCCAATTTGTGAATATAGTAGTTATAATAGTATGTGTGACAGAATTACTAGTGTTTAATAAATTTTTTGTTTAATACTTTGGGAGTTACGATTTTTTAAACATGAAGAGAAATCAAATATATCAGAAATGGAAGAAAGTTTATTTATTTTAGTTCTTTAGGTCATTGAGGGAAAGAAGAAATAAGTTACAACACACAAGACGATAATCGTAAATTTTCCCTCTATTTCCGGTTTCTCCTGGGCCAATTCTTTAAACTAGTAGTCGCGATCGATATCCAGATGACCGTTTTCTCAATTTCTTTTCCACCGGCTGCGGCTTCGACTTGTTGAGCCCAAATAAAGATCACCTCTGCGAAGAGAATCGAAAACGGCAACAGATGGTTAAGTCAACGAAGAAATTTTAAAATAAAAAATAAATAAAATAGACGCGTGTCTTTGATTAATCTTAAAAAAAACTTGTCTTCTTTTTATTCGAAAGATTTGATTGAAGTATAAAATAACTTTCTATTTGGAATTGTTGGTATAAAAAAAAGCAAGTGTTTAATTTCTAGGATTTCAAAGAGCTTTTTAAAAAAATAATCAAGAGAATGAACTTGAATTTTATGTGGGTTACGAGACCCCAATTTCATTTCTGTGAAAGTAAAAGTCATATCACGGTCACAAGTAACAGTTGTTGGTCAATTTGAAATGTTCATTCTATTAAGGAGTTAAAACAATATTAAATTAAAAATATTTTATTTATGTTCAACCATTTTCTAATTGATGCAATTAATGATAAAACGTGTATGAGGAAAATAGTTCTTAATATATTTTTTACGGCTTAAATTAATAAAAATGTTTTTTTATCAAGAATTAAAAGTTCGAATTAGTTATGAGTTGACATAAAAATTGGTATTGTCTCTAACAAGTTTGAAAATCTATCAAAACGGCATAAACAATATTTACTTGATTTCTGGGCATATATGAACACGTGAACCTAAAATTGGTCAACATATTGTACTTTGGCTGTAAGCGATCTTGCCGAACTGGCTTGCGATTAAGGCTCTACAATTCCTGAAAGAGTCCTGAAATTATTTATTTATGTAGTAAATCTGAGGCAATAACAAGAAAGAAAGAATTGAGGGATAGGGAGGCGGAAGAGATCAGAGGGGTGAGACAAGAGGGTGAAGTTTGGAAATATATAAACAAAATAAGGAAAGTACGAGAGGAAATAACCAGTGAAATACAAATGACGGAGTGGAGAGATTACTTCAAGGGTCTGCTGGAGGGGGAAGAGGAGAGGCGGGTAGAGGAGGTAGATACAGGGGGACGGAGAGGAGAGGAGATGGCCGGGGAACAAATGGAGGCGGCGTTGGGGGGACTAAAGAGGGGGAAGGCTCCAGGGGAGGACGGTGTCCAGAATGAGGCATGGCTGGAGGCAACGGGAGAAGTGAGGGGAAAGTTGTTGGAAGCGCTGAACAAAGTTTGGGAAGGGGAAGGGTTTCCGATTGGATGGAGGACGGCGATAATAAGCCCCTTGTACAAGAAGGGAGTGAAGGGAGTAGTGGAAAGTTATAGGGGAATTAGCTTAATGGACTCGGCGTACAAGATATATGCGAAGGCGCTGCTGCAGAGGTTGGAGGAAGAGATGGAAGAGAAAGGGATCTTACCGGACGGACAGGCAGGATTTAGAAAGGGAAGGGGCGCGATAGATAACGTGTACATATTGAAGCACTTGGTGGATAAAGAGCTGGAAGGGAAGGGAGGGAAGCTTTACGCCCTATTCATAGATCTAAAGGCAGCTTTTGATAAGGTGAATAGAGGGAAGTTATGGGAGGAGATGAGGAGGAGAGGGATTACTGGTGGGACAATAAACAGGGTGAGGGAGATATACGCAGAGACGATAGCTAGGGTAAAGGTGGGGGACGAGTTAACGGATAGGTTCTGGACAACGAGGGGTTTGAGGCAGGGATGTCCACTTAGTCCCGCTCTGTTTGCCTTGTATACCGCAGACATGGAAGACAGATTGACCGGTGGGCAGATGGGAGGTGTGGTTGTAGGGAGGAGGAAGGTGCATTCACTGGCTTACGCGGACGATTTGGTGGTAGTGGCGAGAGAGGCGAAGGAGATGAAGGCGATGATGCGGAGTTTGGAGAGTTATTTTAGGGGGAAGGCTCTGGAGGTGAATGTAGGAAAGACAAAGGTTATGAAGTTCTGTAAAGGGGGTAGAAGGAAGAGCGAAGACTGGAGGTGGGAAGGGAAGGAGATAGAGGAGGTGAGGGAGTACACATATTTGGGGTACAGATTTAGAGAGGACAACAAGGAAGGCGCGCATGTGAGGGCAATGGCAAAGAAGGCGAATAAGGTGATGGGGCAGGTCTGGGGGTGGGGAGAGAGATTATTTGGAAGGGATATGGGAAAAAGGAAGATGATATTCGAGTGCTTGATTAGAAGTGTTATGATGTACGGGGCGGAGCTTTGGGGGTGGAAAGAGCAAGGGCTGTTGGAAGGCGTACAGGCTAGGTATTGGAGATGGGTTTTGGGGTTGGCAAAAGAGACGCCGGAGTACATAGTCAGAGAAGAGGTGAAGGTTGATAAGTTAAGAGTGGAGGCGGGTAAAAGGGCGGTACGTTTTGAGGAGAGGGTTGAAGGGAGGTCTCAATGTAAAATTTTGGGGGAGTGCTGGAAAGAGATTAAGGCAGGGAAAGGGGGTTACGGGCAACGAGGGAGGGAGGAATATTTCAGAAGGGTGGGGTACTCAGTGAAAGCGGTAGATGATAGAAGGAGGGAAGGGATTGAGATGTGGAAAGAGCTGGAGAGCAGGGATAGAGATGTACAGAGGCAAGAAAGAAGGGGGCAGATAAGGGAGAGCAGGTACAACCCTAAGTACGAGGAAATAATAACGGAGGGATTGCCGAAGTACCTGTCGGTGGAGGGGGATGAGGAGGGGAAGAGGATGGTGGCAAGATTCAGATGCGGCAATGAGGAGAGAGCGAATAGGTATTGGATGAGAGATGATGAGAGGGGTTGTAGGCTATGTGGGGGGGAGTGGGAGTCGTTGGAGCACCTACTGAGGGAGTGTGACGAGCTAAGAGAGGAGGTGATCGGCTGGAAGCAGGTGCTGGGGGAGGGGGCAGAGGGAAGAGAATGGATGAGGGAGGTGGTGGCGACAAGGCAGCGTAGGGAGATGGGGAGGGGTAGCATAGGAAATAAAATGTATTGTATTGTAATGTGATATATGTAATTGTAGTATTGCTAAAAATTTAATTGTTTGTGGAATGTATTGCTGATTTGGTAGCAATAAACTTTACTTAATTAACAAGCTGAGATTTTTAAAACTATTCAATATTATTGGATTATCTCGCAGAAAACACCTCATTAGAGATGGATTCAAACCTAATTTTGTAACAGTTATTTATATGATAAAATCATGGAATACCAATCGAAACTGTCAACGATAAAGCGTTTTTCATTCATATTTGAAAAATCGTATTTCAGAAATACATTGAAATATCGTGATGAAGTATCAAGCATTTTAAAGCAAAAATCAATCATTCTTTAATTCCAATAAATCGTGATGTGACGATTTTTTGAATTATGAACTTTAAATATCTATATCCGAAGTACAAATTGAGATATCGCTAAACCAAAAATCTTACGTGGTCTTGATATCACGATTTTTTGAATGAATCCATAATTGAATAGTTGTAGAGATTAGACTTATGAACTTTAAAAGTTTGTATCTGAAGAATAAATTGAGATATCGTCATGAAATAAAAAACATTTTAAAGGAAATTTAATTTAGTTTGTGTAAACCAAAAATCATTCTTTAATTCCAATAAATCTTGTTGCGATCTTTTGAATTAATTCCAATAAACTTTATTTTTATAATCTTATAAATTTCTACGTTACATTAATTGCTAAATAATTTGATTTATAAAGACAAAATAACTTTGGTGATTTCTTCGCGTCCATTAACCAGCTGATGCAAGTCAAATACATACTTAATAATACTTTTTATATGTTTTTGTGTCGTTTCGTGATCGTAATAATCAGTAAAAAGCGTTCGCTTTCCGTCTGACTGATCAAGTATATTGAAAAAAAAACTCAACTAGGTACTTTCATAATCTTAACTACAATGAAAAAATCTGATTCAATTTCGATTAAAAATTGTTTTAAGAAAAGAAATTGTTTGGAATATAATTTAATTGTAAGCGATTGTCTTAAATCTTAAAAGAAATTGTTATTCCACTTTCGATTTTCAATCATTTTTATAAAACACTAAGTCATTACACTTTCATTCCGCTCGGTTGAGTTGCAATTCCATCTAAAGCCACACCCTCTAAATCACCGTCACATCTTTATAACTTCTCTTCTTTAAAGTTGAAAAAGAAGAAAAAAAAATGCAAAGAAGAATCTAGTCCAAAACATTTCGAATTTTACGATGTAAAGTTTTCACTTCTTCCCGGAATGGCGGAGAAAAGACAGAGAGAAAATTTTTTATTTTTACAAGAAGATTTTTTTTTAATAAATTTACTTTTGAAACTTTATTGAGTTTTAAAAGATTCCTTTATTGCTTTTTCCGTATATTGATTGATTCAAGAATTCCTCGATTGTGTTGATGAAAAGAAATTAAAAAAATAAATCTTTACGATGATAGTAGGGAGAGAAGAACTTTTTTTTCGAGAAGAAGTTATAAATGTGTGCTAGGATCCGATGCCATCCGCAGTTTGTGAAAGTTGCTTTGGGTTCGTTTGTGAGGTTGTTCTTCGACTTGAACTTGAACTTCGAGAGATGGTTGCAACTAGAAAGGTAAAGCAAAATCGTTTTTATTATTTTCTATTAATCGGATTATTTATAATCTTCAAAAAAGATTTTTTTTTATTGTTTTGGTTATTTAATTGAATTCAGCTTTCCTTTTTAAGACTTGAATGGATGTTAACATTTTTGGATTTGAAACTAAATACCTAATAGCCGCATTTTTTTACCTTTTGAAGATCTCTGACTTATTTCTAATATGACTTTTTTTGTTGGTCTTAATTAAAAAAAATCTATTTGTTGAACATTAATTTAGACGTTTCGGTGAAAGTTTATTTAAACCGAGATGAGTACTATCTACAGTTATATGAAATTTCATCATCAGATTAGAAAGCAATAAAAATTTCACCCATTTTAATCTAAGTTACCATTTTTACAGTATGAAATCTTGATTAGTTTGGTTATTCTTGCCAAAACAACATTAGGATTACCAATATCTTCTTATGATCACGAATATGGAACCGAACACGATTATGTAAGTTATTTCTAATCCTTTAATAAACTTCTTTTAACATTTCCTCGCAATTTTTAGCACCCAAAAGATTATAGTTTTAGTTACGGTGTAAAAGATGTCCACACGGGCGATGTAAAACATCAATGGGAAAAGAAAGATGGGGACACAGTTCGTGGTCATTATTCTTTAGTTGAACCCGACGGATCTGTGAGAGTTGTTGATTACACAGCAAGTGCAAAACAAGGGTTTAACGCCGTCGTAAAACATGAAGGAACTTCATATCACCCCCATTCAAAGAAAGCTACAAGCCATAAACAGTTTCAAATGACAGATGGTGACTCGAGTGGTTACCACATTGAAAAAGCAGCCCCAGCTGGCGAAGAAAAACTCGAAAACGACGATTACTCATCAAAATATCAATACGTTTACGTCCCTCAAGACGAAGCCCATGAAATCAAATACGCGGAAAACGATAATTTGTATGAAAATTTTAAAGATTTTGAGGGTGATGGAAACACTAAGGTTTATGCAACACAAAAAATTAAAGAAGAAAAAAGTCAAGTTAAACTTCCAGTTGATATAAGTATCGTTAAACCAACTGAAAATATCGAAATGGTTGATGTTGCTGTTGTTAAACCGGTTGAAATTGATGTATCTGATGCTTATAATCAAGAGAACCATCAAAACAATAACAAACAAGTTAAAGATGAAGATTTAACTGAAGAGGATTATCAAAAATTTCTAAAAGAATACTATCAAAGCGAAAATGTTAATGAATCGCAACAATTTAATGAAGATGAGTATCAAAAATTTTTAACTGATTACTATAAAAATCCACCACAAGAACAAAACCAACAAAAACCAGTTCAAAATAATCAAAATCAACACAATCTTGTAACCGGATTTCAACCTATGCCTACAAAAGGATCGATACCCAACACGTTTAGAACAAATAAAAGACCGGTATCCACACCGGGTTTAAGGAATTATTCTTCAAGTTATTATAGAGGATCTATTAAAAATGTTGGGCCAATTTTATTCCCCAACGGAAATAGAAACGGTAATGATTTAAAAAGAAATAGCGGAAGATCAAGTAAAAGAGTTGTTGGGAGAAGTTAAAGGGTTTTTTTGGAGGGTTTAATTTATTAATTTTTCGCCATTATTAATACAGGAATTAAAAAAATTAAATGATTTAGCCTTGTTTATAGATATACATATCTGTAAACATATATTATGGATTTAGTGTGAGTATAATTTGGGTTGCATAATTTTGACGTATTTAATTTAAAATTTGAGATTCTTTTAAGACGTTAAAATAAAAACAGTTTGTTTTTATGATGTAATTTACTATTTTATTTTTTTAATGTTTGGATATGAATTTTCAAAAAAATTAATTAATATAGTTAATATTTTATTTTAAATTCGATGTAATTTGGGTTGCATCGTTTAATATTTAAATATATTAAAAATCGAATTTGAATTTGTAAATTATCAAGGCATTTCATTAATTTTATTTTTATTAATTAGTTTATTTAATATTTTTATTAAATCAAAAATGACATATTAATTATTTGTTTAAACGTCAAAGTAATTTGGGTTGCAGCTCTATTACTAATACAATTTAAATAAGATTTTTTTAAAATCATGTGTATTTTGAAACTGTGTACCTTTAAATCGTGCAATATTTTTTTTTAATTTTTAATTACTATTATTTAATTTTTTCTTTGTTAATTAATTTTAAGCGGATGTTGTTTTTCCATAAATTCCTAAATAAAAAAAGTTAGATAAATTTATATTTTCCTTTGCTCACATTAATTTAATAAAAAAAAACCCTTACGAAACTTTCGCCCACTTTAAGAATTAAAGTTATGTCCTCGACGATCGAGTTACTGCTCGTTTCGTTTTCTTAAGGATAGTAAAACGCCCACGCCCAGTATAAAAACGTTACGTAATGTTTCGTGGCGAACGCCCTTTCAAAATAGATGCTTTGATTCGATAAAAACGATCCGGCTCGTACCTGGTTCTTTAAATCGAACTTAAAGATCACTATCGATACGAAAACGAACCTAAAACAGTACACTGTCTCTTAATACTTTCAATTTACATTGCACTTGATTGAATCAAAATCGATATCCAAACAAAAAACGTTAAATCTTTTTTTTAATAGGTATTTCACGTTTAGTATAGTTATTACACAACTTTGTAACAATTTTACAAGTGCAAAACGTTGGTTTCAAAACCATTTCATAACATTCCGGGCTTCGTTCCACTTCCTCTCGAGCGACGACGTTAAGGATAAATCACGTCAATTTCTTTTTTTTCTTTCGCTTGCTTTTCAGTTACCTCCACCACCACTTTACCATTTCGTGCTATAATAGTTGACTTTTTAAAAATGAAACTTTTTAAAAGTTACGCCTCAAAGGTCGTTCTTAAAACGTCCTTGCCGTTGTTCTATCGTTAAGTTGAATCACTCACTTTTTTTACGCTTTCTCGGCAAGAACAAACTTCGAAACGGTTTAATTGTTCTAAATCATTTGATGGTTTACTCATTCGAAGGACGTTTTCAATGGGAAATTGAAAAACATCGATCTATTGACATAGTTTTTGAAATAATTTCCTTTTTTTGTTCTCATTTAAACCAATATGTAATTCTTAGAAATTTTACTATTTTTCGTTTGTGTTAAAGTGGGATTTGTGTTAAGGCTGTGATATTATACCAATTACGTTTAATTTTTTTGATTTCAAAGAAGGTTATATGATTCTCGTCCTCTAGTATCCCAGACGGTCAATTTTATTGTGTTAAGATGTGTCTTTAACGGTAGTGTTGTGTTCTTGGCTTTTCTTAAAGATACATCACAAAATGTTTTTGAATGATTCATATTTTCAGAACTATTCCACGATCTCCTCGAGTCTACATCAAATTCTTGGATTACATATTGCATATGAGACGGAAATTTTTGTCTTTGATCCCACGAACGCTTTAGAATTACTTGTTTGTGTTACCTCATTGCTAATTGCGGCAGTATGACCCATGGTCTGTATTAGGGAGAGCTTGTTTAACCTCCAAGTGTCACTTTCAAGTGTATTTAGTGTTTTTTAATAGCTATCAACAAGAACCGACACTGTTTATATTGATTTGTTCTTCTCCCTTCTATCCAGAACTATGTTACTATCTATGTCAGTGGAAAAGATTTCTATTTGGAATGTTGTGTGGTACATAGTTAGATTGGAAGCTTAACTAACAGCTTTTAGTAGTAAAGTTTAGTTCCCCCAATAAATTGCGCCAAATAAACGCCATAAAAAAAAGTTTATTAATACCAATTTTGAAAAAATCATATCTAAATAAATAATTGAGATATTGTGATTGAGTGATTGTGATCAATTAGATCTTCTGGCAAAAAAATAAAGAATGACGAAAGAATGAGAGAAATAAAGAATACTTTGTTGTATATAATGAATTAGGTGTTATGGAAATGTTACGAATACATTTTTAAACATTTCGGGAAAATTAATATATTCAGAAGATTTGAAAAAAGATTGTGGAAAAAATAAGAAATGAGGAAACTTATTTAATAAGATTTTTTTTAGATAAAGGAAATAACGTGTAATGTATACCAAGATCGTTTCGTTTTTCGATCAAATCGGTCGAAGAGAAGTGAATGACGCCCCCATTTACAAATTCCGAACGTGCAAAGAACTCCGATGGCATACAAAATAACGCAGAAGGGTGTGGTCAACTTACGGCACATACACAGAAAGACAGAGAGTAAACGAAACCAAACCGAACCAAGACATTATACAATAATAGCACTGACCGTACACACTACATTCTAAAAAGATTTTAACTTTCACTAAGGTTCACTATTCACATTTATTAAAAACAAATCTCAAAAATAATCAAATTAAAATAAATTCAATTTAATCACGATTATTGAATTACCTTTTTATTTTGGTAATTTTATTTTTAATTGATAACTCAAAAACTATTTATTTTAAATTAATTGAACACAAAATTGAGATTTTTTTTATAGATTTAGTTTGGAAAGCAATGTTGAACCAGCGTTTTAGTATTTATTGGGCCGTTTTTGAACGTGTACACAACATAGAGTGTGTGCTCCATTTAAGATTACGTAAGGTATTATTTATTTTCAGGTGCTCGTAGGTATATGCCGGGGTTAAAAATCGCGTGATTAATAGATCAAACCGGATAGATAAAACCAAAGATATAACGAACATAATAATAAATTCAATCATTAATCTCGAATTAACCGAAATAAATTCATTTAAAAACTGTAGACGTTTAAACAATTTTAGAATATATAAAACGGTTGAATAATTCTGAAACTTGAACTCGATCTACGCTCGACTGCTGATGTATACGATAATTAATTCACTTATTATAATGTCCATGGAGAAAAGAAACCCCTACATGACAACTTCTTAACAAATTATTGAATATAAATTGAGTTCATTGTCAATGTTAGTATTTAACTTGAACTTGATTTTAAATTAAAATGTTGAAAAAGAAAGGATTAATTTATAACTAAAGTTTTTTAATAAAACAATAAAGTTTCAATACAAAAAGGGTTGGGTTTAAAGCTATAATCTCGATTGGAACTAAGTGGCTAATAATGCATCGATTTTGAGTTGGTACTATGAGGTCGTTCCAGCAATTTGCAAGTAATCAAGTAAAAGATGCTTTTACATAACCGTTCGAAAATAGAATCAACTGTGTCATCTATAATTTGAATACAAGTTTCGATATACAATGGAGAAGTTGCAAAACTTTACTTAAATTTAGATAGTAACTTTTTTTCACATAAATCTTTTATTATGATGATATATCGTTCATACCAAATATGATTATCTCAACCTTTTCAATTGCAAACGAATTGAGAAATGCAAGAACGAACTCAGGATTGACCTTGCCTCCGTTTGAGTTACTCGAGGGGCACACACTAAGCATGACCCGGGCTTTATGTATGTATTAGTAAACGTGCACGAACGCGCACTTTCGATTTGAGCAGCCGAGGCCCCATTTTTTTTTATAAAAACCCGGACGGGAACGAACTAGAATGAAGAAAGACAAAAAAACCGTATCACAGATACTTACCGACACGTCCACGTCTTCAGGAACGGGAGGCGTTCCCCAACCATCACACACTTTTCAGTCTGTATATAAAGACCGTAACGTTCTTTGAAGCTTCAGTCGAACTTTAACAGCAAAACAATCTGTCAACCTATTCTTTAATAAATATGATTGCAAAGGTAAATACAAATTTTGCGTTTCTAAAATTATCAATTATTAATATATTTTGTTAAAGATTTTGGCGTTAGCTACTTTTGTAGCTGTCACAAATGGTGGATATCTTGGTGGACATCTTGGTGGACCAGCTTTTGCCGCAGCACCAGTTTTAGGACATGGCTTAAGTTTAGGACATGCTGCTTATGCTGCACCAGCTTACGCAGCGCCAGCTTATGCAGCACCCGCTGTTTATAAAGCAGCCCCAGCTATTGTTAAAGCAGCACCAGCAGTTGACTATGTGGTTAGTATCCTAAATAAAACCTAATTCATCAAACTAATTTGATTATTCCTTTTAGGCTTATCCAAAATATGAATTTAACTATGGTGTAGCTGATGGTCATACTGGCGATCAAAAATCACAACATGAAGTTCGTGATGGAGATGTAGTGAAAGGATCATATTCTCTTCACGAAGCTGATGGAACAGTTAGAACTGTTCATTACACCGCTGATGATCATAACGGTTTTAACGCTGTTGTTACAAGGTCTGGACATGCAGCTCATCCTGCTACACCAATTGTGGCAGCTCCTGCTAAAGCTGTTTACGCAGCTCCAGCTCCAGTATTACACGCTGCCCCAGCATTAGCTTATGGTGGTTACCTAGGGTACAAACACTAAAAAAATCTTAACTGCGATATTACGACCACGAAAAAATTAGATTTTTCTTATTTTTTCGAAAAGTAACATTTTCAAAAAATGAGAAAAATCAGAACGACCAGAAAGGTTTTTGAATCGATTTTTTCTTGTACTATTTATTCATCCGGTTACGGTTACTTTATTATTATTATTTTTTTCGATCGAAAAGTTTTCTGGTCGATCTTTTTTTATTGCGGTACTGATCGACTAAATGCCATGCCAAAACTTTTTTATCGTATCAACTTGATTCGATCATTCTTCGCCTGACTCGTGTAAATGTCCCAAACGTTTTTTTGCGAATCTGTATTATTTTTTTTTCAATTACCTTTTAATTATAAGTAATTGATATCGTGTTTATTTTTTTGTATTACGTATTTATGTATATTATATGATATGCAAGTTTTTAAAAATAATTTTATCATTTTTTTGTACATATAACTCTTCTCTTTTTTTTGTAGTTCGTACGAATTATTTTTTTAATGACGCAGTATTTTCCATGTTCTCTTCGCGTATACTTTATACTATGTATTTTGTACTGTTTTTTAAGTAAATATATGCATCATCTTTGTCATCAAGAATATTAGTTTTATTAATTTTTTAGAATTTTTATCAGAAATCTTTTCTTTTGAAGGCTATCAACTGTCAAAAGAATATAAAAATTTCTTACTCATATGATTTCAGCTTTTCAATAATCTTACACCATACTTTCCTTCTAGATGTCTTAGAAGCTTTCTTCAGTTTTTTTCTAGTTCTGTTATATTTATTTTTGAGATGTAGCTGATGAGAGTCCCTCATTTCTGCTACCTCCTCTTTTCACTAGCTATAACTTTCCACCTTTTTCTCTTAATGAGTGATTTTTTTTCTTGCGACTAGTGTTCTAACATGATAAAAATGTTCTGGTGGTAACTTGACTTCTCATCTGCTCTTAAGTGTTCTAGATAATGTAATGGATAGTTTTCACAGCTTTTTATTGTCGAATGCCAAGAAAAATATAGCACACATAATATAACATACTATTTTGAGTTAATACTTTGCTACGAAGTCTAACATGACTCTGCCTTTTGTTGTGTCCAACTCTTCTCCGCTTCACTCGATTTAGAATTAGTATCTTCAGCTAATTAAATGTAATGGTCTGATACTATCATGTGATTTTGGAATTTTACATCTGTTTCGTATTTAATCTTCACTATCAGTTTTACTGTAAATTTATAGATAGTACAGATAGCGCGTATACACTATCTACTAATAATTCTTTCAAGATAGAGTAATCCTCGGGTATCACAGAAATAGCCGATCCATAAGAAGCATATCTAGCCAGTTGAATTGGATAACCCAAAATCGACAATGTTATTCAAAACTGGAAGGTGGACTATCAACATTGGGAGTTGATCTCTTCCGGTCCGGGTAGTGCAGACTTTTCTTTGAAAAGACACCTACTGCAGTCTCATCCCATCTATAGTAAAAAGCTCGATGGGAGATGGAGTTAATCAGCTTTGAAGATGTATTAAAAGTTAGCGGTACAAACGGTTCAGGGAAAACCGGTGACTTCTTAGCCGTCCGTTTCGCCAGCCTGTCCGCATGCTTCCGCCACTTTATCGTGACGTTGTTATAAACATTAGCCTCCTGAAGTGATTGCCGACAAAACTTCATCGACGATGATTAGTTCGATGCCTACTAAACGTTAGCACAGCCCGCCTGCTATCAGTGTGAGATCAGGAAGTGCTGTCCAGAGTAATTTGACAGAACCGCACCCAATCGATCTACCACACACACCAGTCATAAGGAAGCATATCTGATTGGATGTAATGGCCCTGCTGACCCCAAAAAGCCTTGAATGAGCCGTAAGACTTGGCCGTTTAATGTTTTTTAAAACACATTGATAGCTAACTGTAGATCAGTAGAGCAGCGACAAATCAAGGTTTCGGATGGCGGATGCCAAACCCAAACTCTGGAGAACGTCTCCCGCCCGAATACATTGCACTAACAGTAAAGTTTGACGAAGGTGGGATTATGGTCTGGGGGGATTACTTCTGTGCATGGATTCGAACCCTTAATCCCAATGGTATTTATTAAGGATTTATCTTTTTATACGACATTGACAATGCAATGTTGAAGGAGAGTTGCAATCTTTTATACAAAAATCGATTCTAGGTATCCAAATATTCTCTAGATACCCAGATATCAAACAATTATAAGCTCGATTAACTTCTGACTGTATGCTTCCATTGGTGTAGGTGATGCCGGGTTTTTGATGGCAAAAGCCGAAAAACCTCCATGGCATCATGATGACATGTCTGTATATAATATTAAGATGTCACATTCAAAAAATTACATAAATTGTTTAAAGCATCATTTTAAAACTTTAATTTCCACTCTGTATATACAATGACTTATCAGAAATGATCTTTAAACTATTAAATAATCGAATCTGGTACCAGAAAACGTTGCGGGTGAAGCGAACCGTAAAGCTTCATTATAGCACAGAGTTTTCTGGACCGTTATGGTTAAGTTTCGTTACGTAACGCACTTTGTTGGTGTGGTTTAAATGAAAAGATATGCGTGTATATTCCCGACCATTCAGAACAAATTGAAATCGGCGTCGTCGGGGGTGAAGCGGACGAATGACGCATTTACAGCGGCGATGAAACCAAAGAGAGAGAGAGAGAGAGAGATAAAAGTTTGTGAAAAGTGAAGTTGTCTAGTTTAATGCGTCCTTAACGCCAAAGCCGCATACTAATTAGTCCTTTGGCTTGACTTTCGTGTGCGGTGCGAAATGGTGCATGAAACTTGAACGACTGGAGAACAATACTTAATGGTCGTCGTCGAGGACATAAATTTAATCCGACTTTAAATTTAAAGTTTCCCCGTTGTGTAATTTCGTAAAGGTAATAAATTAAAGAATTGTTGAAATTAAAAAAAAAATAGTAAAAAGAGAGAACTATGAGTTTGCTTACGTAACGTTATTGTTTAGGTTGGTAATTCCCACAGTTGAACCGGGATTGTTAAATGTAGTGCAAAAGAACCGGATGAAAGATATATTACTTTGATGCTGGGGAGTTGAGGTCGCGTTAAGAAAGGTCATAGAGATTGGTTTACACATCGAATGGGAAAAATCTAGTTAATCACGAATCGGAATTGGATAAGTGAAAAAAACGTTTTTTTTTCGCTTAGTTGGCAATGGTGTAACAAGAAAACACCTAATTTAGGTTTGTAAACCGAAATGCCAACGTGATTTAACGACCACTTGCCGCAAACTTAAGTGTTGTGAAAAATGGGAGTAATTTAATTTTCCCGGTTTTTGAGGTTTACTACGGTTGTACTTTGTTACAATTTATTATCCCCATTACAACTACATAATAATATGTTGTAATGCAAATTAGATAATATACAACACTTTCACTATATACACGCTACATCTTATGGTTAATTATTATTTTTAATAAAAAAATATAGAACATGAAGACGATATAAAGAGATATTTGTATATATAGAATAAAACGATATAATATCGTTTATGTTCAGGAAATAATCGATTTAATCGAAACGTACGACGAAATATTTCGAAATCATTCGACATTTTCGAGATTGGCCATAATTGCTTACATAGTCCAGACTGGAATAGTACTACAATGTGAATAGAAGTCGAGCGATTGAGGAAGGAAAAATGACGCTGCAAGGACGGCGATCTTTATTCTTGAGGAGATAATTATTGGTCATGGTTTCGACAGAACGACAAAGTTTGTTGAAATCACGATCGTATCCGGTATCTTTTTGAAATATCTGAAGAAAGTTTTTTTTTAAATAAACATTTAAAGTGAACCTTGAATTATATATAACATTTTCGATATTTTGAGACCATTTTAATTTTTTAATTCTAAGCATTTTTTTCGATTGCAACACACAGGAAAACAAACTTCCAACTACTTCGTACTGCGCATACAAAACTCTAATAGATCAGTGTTGACGGATAAAAAAAACTGTGTAAGTATTGCCCCGACGTACTTGGTCCACATTATTCTGACCGGTACAAGCTGCATACTTTCAAATTATACACGCCAGGCAATAGCAACAGCCTTTGTGCTCGACAAATACCGGGTGGTGGGCATCGATTTTTTTCAAAACCCCGAACACGTGGAGTCCTTTTCAACTATATAAGAGCAACAAAATACTATAGGAAGTCAGTACAGTTCAACTTTACTTGTGTGCTTAACAGTGTATAAAATACAAATCAACAAAAAAATAATCATGATCTCGAAGGTATGATGAGTAATCATGATTTTATGTTGATTCAAATTTAAATTAACATTCAATAATGTCATTTAAGATAGTAATTATAACTCACGTATTTGATGACTCTCCAATATTATTGAAATCCTTGGATGATTACTTAATTTTAAATGATACTTGATTTATAACTTAACTTTTTATTTTATTTAGGTATTAGTATTGGTTGCTATTGTAGCATCAACAAAAGCTGGTTATATTGGAGGAGGAGCATCATACGCAGCAAATAATTTAGTATCTCTAGGTGGTCATGCATCGGTGGTAGGATATGGTGCAGGAGGATATGGTGGACATGGTGGATTTGGTGGATACGGTGGACACGGAGCAGTGTATGCAGCTCCAGCTGTTGTAGCAGCGCCTGTGGTTGCCGCAGCCCCAATTGCGAAAGAAGTTGATTACTATGTAAGTAAATTTTTAATTTTAACGTTATAGTGTTTATAGACAAAACTATTTTCCGGTTCCTAAGGAATTTCTAAAAGAGAAACCAAGTAATTTTACAATGACATAAGTACAACAGGCTACACGTACGCGGTTACGCTAATATACGACGAACGCACGTCCGTTTACCGTTGTTGTTTATTTACAATACTCAGCGCGGACATGCGTGAAGTTTCCTTTTTGTATGTTTCATTAAAAGAAATTCTATTATCTTTTAGGCTTATCCTAAATATGGTTTTAATTATGGTGTATCCGATGGACACACTGGCGATCAAAAAAGCCAAGAAGAACACAGAGATGGTGATGTTGTAAAAGGATCTTACTCCCTTCACGAAGCTGATGGAACGATTAGAACCGTTCATTACACCGCTGATGATCATAACGGATTTAATGCAGTTGTCACCAGATCTGGGCATGCTGTCCATCCCGCTACCGTTCCAGCTGCGAAATTCGTCGCGGCTCCAATCGCTTTAGGGGGTTACCTCAAACACTAAAAACGTCTTAAAGAAACGATAACCCAACTTGCTCATCTTGTTGTAAATACCTCTTTTTTCCTCATCTTTTTTCATCTCTATCTTTAACTATCTTTTGTATCTAAATCTCAAAGCCACCCACATTGTCTTCATACGCCGACGTGCACCGATTCATTACAACGATTTTTTAACCACGATTATTATCCGCTTTTGGCGGATAGCGCCATATTTATTATTTTTATTTTTTTTAATTATTAATAATGTGACGTACTTTGTTTTTTTGTACACTTGAGGCGACTTTGCGCGCTTTTGTATAGGTTGTAGATTGTATTTTTGTGTTGTAACCCAAAGAAATAAAGCGCTTTTGTAAAGGCAATTTTTCTTTTAATTACCTAAAGTCTCATTTAAATACTTTCAATACATTTTTGACTTATATTTTTGTTTATAAATAAAAACATGGAAACGTCTATTTTTTTCGTAAATAATTTGCAATGTTTCCAAATTTCATTACATACTTTGTATATTGTTTCATTATTAGTAATTATTACAATCTACCTTTTAATACGAGACAAACTATATGTAACACTTAAGAATTGATGTAGACAGATAGTACAATATTTATTGTTTTTAACATTTATAATAGTTGCCCTGTACGATTTTTTATCATTAGATAGTTTTTAAAATTTCGGCCATATAATGACTTCTACTACTTTAAAGCAATCACGATTCCTTCTCGAGATCACTTGAGATGATGTTAAGTCAATGCTTGATGTTGTTGGCAAATCCGTATACATTTTGCATAGGTTTTCTGATCCACTTTCCAGCATGATTTGGACACGTTTTGAAAAACTTCAGATGATCATTTTATTGATAGTGTAGAGATATTTTTCAGCTGGAAACATTCGATATAACTGTATAGTACTTTCTAGCATATAAGTCGTAACTCCATCACGTTGATAACTTTATTAGATATAGTTGAACTTATATTGAACGGTATTTATACAGGTGTTTTATTTAAAAATCCAAACTGACTTAAAATATTGAAAAAACGGTAAATCTGGAAACATTGTTCATGTCAAGTTTAGAATCTTACCTCAACTTAGCATTAAATTAGGAAATTCCAAACTTTTGCTCCACTCTGTACATTATTAATTGATAAAAAAAAAATCTCATTGTAGTTACAAAGACATTAAGATTATTAATTTTAAAATATTTAGAGTTATTTTAAAGATGTGTAACGTTGAAAAAGTATAGTAAATCATGTCATCATGCATCTTTTGAAAGTACCTACGTTGTAACAATTATTAACACGTTGACTGCCATTTACGACGTACTTTGCATTCAATTTGTTGCGTAAAACTATTGAGAAGAAGAAAATTATTAGTTCTTTGCTAATAATTTTCTTACATTTGTAATACTTAACCAATATTAATAAAAATTTTAAAGCCAATAAAAAAATTACCATTAATTACTTATTTTTATTACTAGAGTTGCAAAAGAGAACTTCCCACAGTGTCAATTAAAAATCGGGCAACAGACCCGAAGTTTTTTCGCGTGAAATTTTATTAAGAAACTGTTTTTAATTTACTTAATTTTGGGTCGAATGATTTTCGAAGGAATCAAAATCACTATAATTAATGTTATAGCAGTATTATTTAATAATAGTTAATATAAATATTATTTGCTGTTTATGAAACGTGTATTCGCCGATGTGAATAATCACCTAATGGGTAGTTCTAATTCGAATAAGACGAGCATGGTTACGCAGTATTGCGCGTTTCTCACACACAATCGCAACACCCAAGTCATTGTCTTAACATTATTATGTTAGTTTATGGATTTTGTGGGATAAATTTCTTCGTTACGTCAGTTCTATAAAAGGGAGAATGAAAATTTTTAAGGCATCAGTCTTCGTTGGTGATCCAGTGAATTAACATCATCATGAATTATTTACAGGTATCAAAAATTCCAAATTAGCATCAATCAAAAAATAAATCCAATTCATTTTTTTTTTATTTTTTAGTTGAGCGTTTTAATTTTTACTTTATCAAGTACTTCAGCGGGACATGTAGGACATCTAGGTCATTTTGGTGGTTTATCTTCGTCGTATGCCTCGGCAAATTTGGGAGGTCAAAGTTATAACACCATAACTCATGGGGGAAGTGCTGTTACTGAAGTTCATGCGATTCATGGAACCGCACACGGAGGATTAGACGCCCACACAGGTGTTATTCATCAATCTCCAGTGGTACATGCTATTAATTACGGAGGTCATCATCATCTTGGAGGTGGACTAATCTCAAATAGCATTGTTGGAGCTCATGGTGTTCATGCGTCAGTTCCTATTCATCAAATTCATTCAGGATTTGGAATAGGATATGGTCATCAACATGAAGAAAAAGTACAAATACAAAAAATATTATGTTATACGTAATATAATTGTTTTAATTAATTATTTTTAGGCTTATCCAAAATATGAATTTGATTACGGCGTTGCTGATGCTCACACTGGTGATAAAAAGACTCAACATGAAGTTCGAGATGGCGATATCGTAAAAGGTTCTTATTCTGTTGTTGAACCTGATGGTTCGACCCGAACTGTGCATTACACAGCTGATGATAAGAATGGTTTTAATGCTGTAGTAACAAAATCTGGTCATCCAGCCACTGTTGGTCATCCCGGTCATGTTGTGGGACACGGACAATTAATCGCTCACGTTCATCATCATGGTTATTAAAGATACTTTTTTGTATATATTTTTGTATGATTTTTATCGAAAATAAATAAATTTCTAACGATAAGATAAATTGTTGTAGATTGATGACTGTGTCACCTCTTAACTATGTCATTAGTACGGTTGAGTAGATCTCGACAAAGAAGTAATTTATTTTGTTTGGACGGGTTTTCGGTTAATTCTAATTAACTTTCAAGGTGTTTTTTTTTTTGAGGACGTCCTCTTATTAAGATTAAGTACTTTTGTTCGTCTTTATTAATTGAAAATTATTTACCGTGCAACCACTAACGTGCATGAAAAGTAAAAGCATCCGAAAAAAAAGCTTAAGCAATCTCTCGCAAGCGGCATGTTAGCGACACATTACGCCAAGAAAAGTTGACCCAGATTCCTTGACTTTGTTATAATATACTTTTTTAAAAAATAAAAAACTTGTACCACTAACACTTCCAAACAAACAACCACCACTATTACACCATACATTTTAGACATTATGACTTTCGAACTGGTTGACTAACGGGAAGGCGAAATGAATGACGATTGAGGTCTCTATGGGCGTTAAGATTTTTTTTCTCTAACACAATATGTCGAGGCGAAGGTCTTACGATTGGGGTATATAAAAGAAACTGGAAACACTTTATAGTCATTCAGTTACAAGTGATATTTCGTACAAAAATGATTGCAACGATTGCTGTTTTTGCTACGTTAGTGGCTTACTCTCAAGCAGGAATTTATGGACACTCCGGAAGCTCGTATGTTAGCTCAAATTTGGGTGGATATGGAGGATATTATTCTGCTCCAGTTGTTGCCCCAATTGTAGCTGCTCATGAACCATCTAAAGATGTAGATTACCACGTAAGATTTAATCAAAAATAATTTTTAAGGTTATATTTAACTTAAATTTTAAGGCTTATCCAAAATATGAATTTAATTATGGAGTTTCCGATGGACACACTGGAGATGTTAAATCACAGCATGAAACGAGAGATGGAGATGTTGTAAAAGGTTCTTATTCTCTGCACGAAGCTGATGGCACCATCAGAACCGTTCATTACACCGCCGATGACCACAATGGATTTAATGCTGTTGTTGAAAGATCAGGACACGCAGCTCATCCTCATGTAGCTCCCGTTAAAGCTTTCGTTGCCCCAATTGCCGTCCATGATGGTTATTACCACTAAATGTTTATTGTAAATAGTTATTTAATATGAATTGTTTTTGTAGAAATAAATAAGTTATTGCATTTTAAAATTTTGTGTTTGTTTATATACAGTACCGATCAAAAGTAACTATTTTGATAAATTTGGCAAAAACTTTTTTGTGCTTCCATCAATTTTCACAGAATATTTCTCAGCTTAAAGCTGCTTTATGGTCGCAAGAGTAACAAAATTTTCGGACACATCTTAATTTTTGCACTTTTTGAAATATTAAGCGATGCAGAAGATGATTGTAGAATGCCGTCATCAGCAGATAACACAGACGCAGCTAGTAGCGCAGTTTTCGATCTGCTGTATCCAGATTTCTTAAGAACTGGCGAACTCAAGGAGGCTTTGTGACAAAGAAACGGTGGTGAAAGAGCAATCTCAGGCTTAGTGCAGTAGACATTGGACGTGAATTGTGGCGCGCAAGGCAGGGCCAGCCACCTGCGGCGATGATCAAGAGAAGGCTGATTGCTGTTGGAATCGTTGGGCGATGAAGAGTGAAGAAACTGTTCGTGTCGACCAAAAATAGGAAGGCACGCGTGGAGTGGGAGAAGGCTCACCTCAACAGGACCCGACTGCAATGCCAGCAAGTCATCTGGAGCGATAAGAGCAAGTTCCTGATGTTTGGAATTGATGGCGCCCGCTTTGATCCCATTTGTGTTCTATCATTTGGTTATAAAAACTGACGTATGTTTGATGTTCAAAACATGTTTGAACATGAAATCTGTGAGAAAATTCTAGATCGAAAAATTAAGTAGGAAAAAAGTTACACACAAAACAAAAATGTGATACACTTTTGAGCGGTACTATATATACAGGTGTCCCGTTAAGCGTACGGAGCGGCTGTATCTCTAGAACGTTAAGACCTACAGGTTTGGGAAAAAATCCTCATAAGCAAAGTGACCAAGAGAAATAGCTGGAAATTATTTTGAAGTTCGTAATTCGACCGCTAGGGGGCGTAACTGCCATTGAGAAACATAAAATTCCCGCTATCTCAGAAAGTTCGACGATGAGCTATACCTTTGACAGCATCATTTAGTAGCTTGGATAATACCGCATCGCTTTTGTTTTGCGATATTTCTCATATCTGTAATAATAAGGGAGGGGGAGGCCAATGCGTTTTCAAATGTTTACATTTTAATATCTCCTGGACCATTCAACCGATTTGAATATTTTTGGTCTTGTTTGAAAGAGCATTTTATGCTCATTTTAAAGATATTTTCAGTAAGACTATTTGCTTTAAAACAAATGAGGTAGAGAGCGTTATCTGCAGCGATTACATATTTTTGTGATTTTTGAAGAAAAGTTAAATGCAACGATACTATTTACTTCACAGACCCTTAGTAACCTTAAAATTTGCTAAATTTTAGTGAAAACCGCATCTCGATATCGCCACTCGTTCTCGAATTATAGAAGAAAATGTTGTTAAAAACTCGAGTGCCATCAATCGGATCCAGTTACCTCATCGACAAACATAAATCACATAACCATGGTAACTGTAAACATGTCATTTACTAACGCAGAAGCGTATGATGATTTATTTTCAATGTTTTGAATACGATGCAACTGCATGGCAAAAATGTGCAATGCAATTACGACAAAGAAAGACATTTTTCTCTAGAAGTGTTTTTAAGATTGACTTAGCGATTACGGAAAAGTGGCAACGTGTAGCCCATTCAGACATCTCTATGAATTCGTAAATCACATTGGTGCGCAATGTGATCCCACATCATCTGAGAACTCCGAAAACAATTGTCCACAAGATTTCTCAAGAGAATAATATCTCCACCACGTTGTTTTACATCAGGCCTTAACAGATACCGATTATGATAACAGACTGAACTATTACCATTGACTTTTAAATATGATTTGGGCAAATCCAAACCTTTTATCACAAATGCTATGGATGCATGAAGCATCTGTCCACAAGCTAATGTAAACTTGCATAATATGCATTCTTGGTTCGAGCAAAACCCACATTGCTTTCACCCCTTTATCTATTGGGTAGACTAAACGACCTGACTTTTCAAGAAAAACCAATAACCAGGGAAAATATGACAAAACACTAAATACCAGTAAAAACGTGTCCAGGGAAGAGACTTAGCAGCGCTTTTTTTTCGTCGAAACTAGATTAAATAAATGCATCGAGGTTTATGTAAGACATTTCGAACATTAGTGAGCTATTTTTGCCAAAAATTTAAGTTATTCTAAGTGTTTCGGTTTATTTTGTTTTATTATCATTGTTGATGTTTCATTGATCCGTTGGCTTTTCAACACGCCTCAAAAGTAGTTTTGAAGCAGTTCTAAGCTTGGATAAAGTGTGAAGGAAGGTTCTAGATAATAAAATTTTTGTTCTCTCTTATTTGTTTCCTAAGGTAACTTGATCCGATTAAGATATACGAATTTTTAACATTTTCTTTTATAATTCGAGAATGGATGGAGATATCGAGATGCGGTTTTCACTAATATTTAGCAAATTTTATGGTGATTAACGGTCTGTGAAGTAAATAGTACCGTTCCATTTAACTTTTTTTCAAAAATCACAAAAATATGTAACCGCTGCAGATAACGCCCTCTAGCTTATTTGTTTTAAACCAAGCGGTCTTACTGAAAATATCTTTTAAAAGAGCATGAAATGCTCTTTCAAACAAGACCAAAAATATTCAAATCGGTTGAATGGTCCAGGAGATATTAAAATGTAAACATTTGAAAACGCATTGGCCTCCCCCTCCCTTATTATGACAGATATGAAAAATATTGCAAAACAAAAGCGATGCGGTATTATCCAAGCTACTAAATGATGTTGTCAAAGTTATAGCTCATCGTCTAACTTTCTGAGATAGCGGGAATTTTATGTTTCTCTATGGCAGTTACGCCCCCTAGCGGTCGAATTACGAACTTCAAAATAATTTCCAGCTGTTTCTCTTGCCCACTTTGCTTATAAGGATTTTTTTCCCAAACCTCTAGGCCTTACCGTTGTTGAGATACAGCCGCTCCGTACGCTTAACGGGACATCCTATATATTTAAATTTTAAATAAAATTAATTAAACATTACGTAAAATAATTTTTTTAACGAGGTGTTTTGCAAACTCAGATATTTAACGCTTCATTGTGCATTTATTGCAGTAGTATATAACACGGTTCTCTCCAAAGATCTATTCTAATAATCGATTACCATTTATGACGTCCATACAAAAAGATGATCGTCCTTATATAACACGAATTACGACCAGTTTAGTAATAACTAATTGAGCAATAATAATTGATTCAACGCTACATGCGCTAGATCGATAAACAAAGAGAAAGATTTCATCAACCGGTCCAAACTTGACACGATTCCTCGACATGGGATATAATAACTAACCGCAAACGACACAAACCGTTTTAAATTTGCAAACGTAATAAACGTGAGCTATAATTTCGAGTAATAATTGTTGACCTGGAATGTGAACTTATTGTGTTAAAGCGAATTAGTTAGATCATTTTTAAATGCAAATTATCGTTTAAAAACTTGCTTAATCTCAAATTGATAATCCTAGATTACATCAAAATCGCGATGACGTGAAATTGGTGTTCGATAACGATGTATAAACGGTGGTTTCGGTTGGTGCAATCGGCTCGGCCAATTAAAAGCTTTACATGTAGTACGTAATTTTGGCACGCTCCACAAACGACACTAATGAGTACGCAAGTGTGGACCCAAAGTGGGTCCGCGATGTTCGTGTTCGCGTCGTTGCTTTCGCAATATCTTAATATGTATAATAAGTTTTTGTGAAACGGCGTTTCCGCCTTTTCGTGAAAAAATTTTAGCATATAAAGCTTTTCAATCCGATGTGGTTTGTCAGTCTTGAATAGAACGAAGAACAAAATGTTTGCAAAGGTGCGTTTTGTGAAAAAAATTTATGTGAGGTGTTTAAAAACGAGTTATTCTTTTTTTAGGTTTTTGCCCTCTTAGCAATTGTAACCTTGGCGAAATGCGGTTACATTAGTAGTGGTTTTGATTCAAACCATTACGGTGGAGGAGGAGCTAGTTCCTACGTAAACCAAAAACTAGACTCATATGGTGGTTATGCCACGTATGGAGGTCATGGTTCTGGAGGATTAGATGGCGGATATGGCGGTGGATTTGGAGGCGCACATGGTGGAGATACTGATGATGGCGGATACGTAAATACAAATCACAATTTAAAAAAATTGAAACATAAATTAAATTTATTTTTAGGCTTATCCAAAATACAACTTCAATTATGGAGTTAATGACCATCATTCTGGTGATGTTAAATCTCAACATGAAGAACGTGATGGAGACGTGGTTAAAGGTTATTACAGCGTACACGAACCTGATGGTACAGTAAGACACGTTCAGTATTCAGCCGATGACAAAAATGGATTCAACGCTGTTGTAACGAAATCTGGACATGCTAGTCATCCAGCTTCTGATGGACATGGTGGACATTATTGAGTGATGATAAATTAAATAAAAATAAATAAATTATTGTAATTATGATGGTCTCTTTTATAATCGACATAAATTTCCATATCTCCTACAGCCAGTTTTCCATAATGTCCTTGCAATCATTAATCACTCAAATAACGTGGATGAAAAGAGCAGTTTGATCGATATTTTGGTTATGAAATGATAACATGGCAGACTTAGAAATTGTTCTTCCCCTCTCAAACTTTGAGCAATGAAAGCGATGCCGATCCAAAAATGTATAAACAATTTGAACATCCATCAATTTGTAGCAACAAGTTATGTTGAAAAAATAGTAGGTACATTCTTCAACTATAAATGATAATTTTTATTGTATATGCGGAAATCATATTGATAGAAATGTACAACTAATTATTATGTAAAAAGTTCATCTTGTTATCTCAAATTGTTTTATAACAAGGAAGTAAAAGAAAAACCTTCTTTTTTTATTTTATAAATTAATCTAGTCACGAAAGTTCTTCTTCTTCAATTAAAATTGTATGATGAGAAAATTTGCTGGTGTATAAATTTTTTGTTAACGCGAAGCGGTGCTCAGATGGTTTTTGCTCCTAGAAGTTGCAACATTAAACATGGTTATAATGTTGCTTAAATTTGCGCTTTTTATCATTTTATTAACGCAGTATTTAATTGTAACCCAAAATTTGAAATCGCAAAATGAACTCGAGAACGATTACAGCGAAGAAGACGTAAGTATTTCTTTACTTGTTCCTATTATTTTAAATCGAGATAGAATGCGTTAATGATCCGCTTGTGACATGAATTGTAACAAGACAGTTAACAAATACTTGGACAAAAGTGAAAATGAAACTTCCTGTAAAACACTTTCTTTTTGTTCGAGCATTCTTCCAGTTTTATTTGCAAGTAAAATCTACTCTACTTACTTACTTGAGCAGGAGAAAATTAAAATTAAAGCCATTTTCACGGAATTGTTACTGCTAACGAAAGAAACAGAAAATAATAAAATTAGTTATAGTAATTTTGATTGCATAAGAAGTCGTTAAAAATAATTGTTTGTCTTGTAGCATTATCCGAGATACAGTTTCAATTACGGTGTGATCGATCCGGACACCGGTGACAAAAAATCACACCAGGAAGAACGAGAGGGAGACAACGTGAAAGGATATTACAGTTTTCAAGAACCAGATGGTACAATACGTCACGTAAATTACACGGCTGATAATATTAATGGTTTTAAAGCGATTGTAACCAAAAGTGAACCACCAAATAAATTAACCCATTAAAATTAAAATTAAACAAATGTAAATATTTGAAAAATATACATTTTAACTACAAGAATTGTTTAGAATTAATAAGTCAAAGTAACTTGGTTCAGTGTTTATATAGTCATGTTTGAAATTATTCGAAAGCGAAAACCTCCCACCAAAAGCAAAATTTATCGTTAAGATTAATAAATCGATCTGGTGATTTACTCATTTCCTAGTCAAGAATTACGAAATGATACTAGTTTGTAAGAATCGAGTTATCCGAAAATTGGCTAAGTTTGCGTTGTCGTAAAGCAAACGAGCGGAAAAGTAGACATATCAAAGGCTGCACTGTTTGACGAAACTCACCTTTTACTCATTAACTATGCCGGGGAGTTGCGTTAAACTCGATGGTCACGGTCCGTAACTTCACATAGAGTGAAATTCCTTTTTTTATTAGTTAAAACTGCCAAACACTATTCATTTTGTGACCTATTATTGTTACCTAATAAACGATAAAAAATTTTATTAAATCTATTTATGTATTAAAGTCATTACAACTTAGTAATGCAAAATTATGCAAAAACCTTAAACCGAAATTAATCTGAAAATCTCTTTAAAAACATAAAGAAAGTTATATGTAACTTGCATTATCAAAGTTGTGTATCGCGAGCAAAATTCCAGCGCGTTTCCGTTTTGGAGACAACTTTATATAACGGGAAGTATGTGGAGCCGAGGTTTTTAATTGTAAGAGAGGGTCGTTTCGTAATAACCATACACGTTTATAGCTTCGAAAGCGCCCATTTTTGTACGGCTTTTGTCTGAGTCGACGCGGCGAGGTTGTAACGTTTTATTTTAATTTTACACGCCTGCCAGAAGTTGGACCAGAAGTATACAAGAGCATATACAATGTGCAGGGAGAGAACTGGACCGTGCAATGTTTCGAATTAACCGTGTGTACATTTTAGATTCTTTTTTTGATAAATGTAAAGGTTTCTATCTCATAGCATAAGCATGGTATATTCGACAACTTTTATAGCTTACAACAAAATCGTTTCACAATTAATCAAATTAAATTTTGAAATTAATAATACTGATCTTAAGATGCACGGGTAAACCCAAGCACCACCAAGCACTGTCGCTAGAACTAACACTAAACCTAGAACCAGAAACATTCAGGTGTAGCCTGTTAAGAGACGTGCGGCTAAACCGGAATGTTTCTAATTCTAGGTTTAGCTTTTTATATAAAATATTTATATAAATATTTTGCACGTTTGGGAAGTAGACATCTCCACCTTTAATTTCATACATAAATTATTTCTTTATCTTCATAAATAAAGGAGTTATGGTTTTTTAAAATTTAAGTACTCTTTAATTATCTAAAAATCATCATCGAAATCTTTAATTTCTTATTTAAAATTTTCCTATATAACGTTATTAAATTTTATACAGATTTGGAAAGAGCACATCTTCAGCTTTATTTTCAGATATGAATTGTTTCTATATATTCATAAATAAAGGAGTTAAGGTTTTTTAAAATTTAAGTACTCTTTAATTATCTAAAAATCATCATCGAAATCTTTAATTTCTTATTTAAAATTTTCCTATATATCGTTATTAAATTTTATACAGATTTCGAAAGAGCACATCTTCAGCTTTATTTTCAGATATGAATTGTTTCTATATATTCATAAATAAAGGAGTTAAGGTTTTTTAAAATTTAAGTACTCTTTAATTATCTAAAAGTCATCATCGAAATCTTTAATTTCTTATTTAAAATTTTCCTATACAACGTTATTAAATTTTATACAGATTTCGAAAGAGCACATCTTCAGCTTTATTTTCAGATATGAATTGTTTCTATATATTCATAAATAAAGGAGTTATGATTTTTTGAAATTGAAGTACTATTTGGTTATATGTATAATGAACATCACCATATTCATTAATTTTTTCTTACAATTTTCTTATACAGTGTTTTTAAATATTATACAGTTTTCGAAAAAGCACATCTTCAGCTTTATTTTGAGACATAATTCGACTTTACATCTTCATGAACGAAGAAGGTATGATATTTTAAAATTCAACTACTTTATGGTTAATAATATACAACAATCTAACGCTGAATAATAATTGCGGATAGCTGTTCGAATTTATGCTGTTCTCCCTTCCTCGCATTAGTGCGTTATATCTTATTTAATAAATTAAGAATTATCTTTAGTTAATTAACTCCAACACTTTTTTGATTGAGAAATTGATCGTTAAAATTTCATGTCATAATTTATTAAGTTAATTCAAGGTTTTTAATCCATTTAGTATTGTTTCATACCCAATAACCTATTGAAAAACGATCGAAATTCTTTGGTAACACTCGATTTATGGATGGATAATAAAAGGAGTACGAAATCATAACACTGTATACAATGGGAACTTCGTCATCAAATACCACAAATCTTCTGACGTATAATCCAATAATTTTAATTAATTTTTAGAAAGTCGGGAACATAAAAATTCAAACTTCCTTTGATTTAAAATCGATAACCGATTTATTAAGTTACAAAATGTTTTAATTAAAAGCCGCCGATTGAATATATAACTTTTTGTATACGCGGGGAATAAAACGTTTTGTTACAACACTGCAAGTTGTCAACGTAATTTAGCAACACGTCCTCCAAAATCCCTATCGAATGGGTGTTTAACAATAATTAACTTAAAGAGAATAATTCTAAATAAATTTCGGTTCGTCCTCTCACCTACCTATATAATTGTGTCGTAATTAAAGTTTTTTAATAATGGGTTTCTGGTTAAAAGAAAAAAAATAATAAAATGTTTTAAACTACATACTCGTAAGCCGTAACCGTTACAAATTTTAATCGATACTTGTATTAAAAAAACGTTTGTTTCAGGCGAATTGCAACATTTTAATACTTGGGTAAATGTGTTCAGTGTAATTTGTATTGGGCAACGCGATTTGTATCAAAGATATTCACATTCTAACCGAAAAAAATATGTCGTTTAATTTTGTTTTTTCTCGATGATAATGATAATAATAATAATATTGTTATAATTGTAACGATTTATTGTTGGTGTATTAGAGATCTTAAAACGGCAACTTTCAAAACTCTACTACTACCACATGTACATAATACGACGACGGTTTTCTGTCGTCTTTTTGCACCAACTCCAGCACACTCTTTCAGCTTTTAGTTTCCCCTATCTGGTATTTACGTATAAAAGAGGCGGTCTATTCCTCATTAAACCAGTTCACCACCGTACTCCAAACCAAAAACATCTCAAAAACCAACTAATATACCAAAAAATGATCTCCAAGGTGTGTTTCAAAACATTTAAAAAAATTATTATTTGATAGTGACAAAAGCAAGGATTAATTATTTATATTTTTAGATTGCATTCCTTATGGGCATCCTAGCTGTTTCCAATGCTGGACTCATTGGAGGATATGGCCATGGAGGTGGTGATATTGGAGGTGGAGACGTTGGGGGATATGGTGGAGGTCATGCTGATGTAGGTGGACATGGAGAATCTTATCAAAATAATAATCTTCAAGCGTATGGTGGAGTTAGTTTGGGACATGGCGGAGACGGTGGTGGATATGGACATGGAGGTGGACACGATGATGGACACGATTATTATGTAAGAGACTTAAAAATAAACATTTACTTCCTTATCTTAACCTTTCACTGTTCTCATAAACTTGGTGCTTTCCCCATCTTCTTCCTTCATATCCAAACCAAATGCTTTCTCCATGTTTATTTCTGTTTTTGTTTGTAATAATAGTAATTTCTTAATTTTTTCTGATTTCAATATTTTTAAGCGAAACACATTAATTGGAGCTAAAATTTTTTAAAATAATATCTAGGCTAATTATAATAACTTCCTCAATTTCCCTCGAATTAAACTACTTATTTAAATCTCTAACCGTGAAACTCCTTATTTATTTATTTATTTTTTAACGTTCTAAAAGAGAAAATCTTTAATTCTAAAATTTCTTTTCAACCTTTGCGGTTAAAGTCAACTTAAAAGCTTTCATTGTAAAATTAAATTGCTACTTAGTTGTTATTTTAATAGATTTCTAAATAATTCTATTTTATTATTATTTCATTTTATAGGCTCATCCAAAATATGAGTTCAAATATGGCGTTGAGGACCATCATACCGGCGATACTCATTCTCAAGAAGAACACAGAGATGGTGATGTCGTAAAAGGATCTTATTCCCTTCACGAACCCGACGGCACAATCAGAACTGTTCATTACACAGCCGATAAACACAATGGTTTCAATGCCATCGTTACAAGAAGTGGACACGCTATCCATCCCGCCGTTTATGGACATGGCGGTGGCGGTCATGGTGGACATTAAGAATATTATTATTTGAATTTGAAACCGATTTTGGGACTAATTAATTGCCTCTTCGTACCTTGTTGTTTATATTAATTCTTTTCCTTACATAAAGTATTTATTATGTTATATCGAGATAATGAAAGCGAGATATGAAATACATTTTTTTTAAGACAACTTAATTTGTTTCTTTTTTCTTGTTTTGTTCTTATTCGTGATTTGGAATAAGTTTAATTTGAATATTATAAATATTTACAACGGTGGTTTACGGGTTTTATTCTGATTGCATCCGGTTACTTTCAAATCTTTACACCTTTATATATCGAGAAAACAAAAAGGTTTCTCTCTTACAACAAATAAGTTATAAAAGAGTGTTTGTTTCCATATAAATGAAAACTTCCTGAAACCGTTGTTCATTAATGAGAAGAGAAGAATTTGGGTTCATCTGTCAGTTAAGGTTATTGGAATTTAAGGTCCTATTGTATTAATCCTTTTTGAGACTGAGTGTCCGGCTTTCACCCATTTTATTGCATCATTCGTGGTATTGGATTTGACAAAGAAATGCGGCGGTCAATTGGTTTTACTAAAAGTGGATAAGGAATGAAAATAATATATCGTTTTAAGTAATTAGATATGTTATGAGTAGTTTTGAAGTTGTAACGTTAATTGTTTTATTATGTTACTTGATGATATAACCTGGTAATAAACTATTACAAAAATATTTCCGATATGGTTACCTAATGTGTGCCAGTATCTTGGTTATCACAACCTAAGTCGATGTCGTTTTCAGTCTATAGACCAGTATTGGATCCGACGATGCGTGACCAACTTCCGTACTTTTCCCTATTCCTCTTTCGTAACATGCTAATCTGGGTGGAATTTTCTAAACGTTATACTTACGCATAAACTTTTTATAACTAAAAGAAAGAGAAGAAAGTTTAATTTAATAATAAAGATTAAAGTTATTGAGTAGGTACATCACGTATTGTTTTCATTGCTGACGATTTTAACTTAGATTTTAACCAGAAATAATTTTTTAATTTTTCCCGATTTAGTAAGGTTTAATAATGAAATAGACCAATTATTAATTGCGAACCGTAACCGTGTCGTTTGAAAGATTAATTTTATTTTAGCATCAAAATTAATCGCTTCGTTGATTTACCGAGACGGGGCAGCCGATCGTTCTTTCCACAGTTTTTAGCCCCGTAACGACCGTTATGGGACAAATTCTAGGAGACGAAAGTTTTGCTTCACGGCTTTTTAACTGATTAAGCACTTTTTGTCATCCGATATTCCTATAAAAGCGGTCGAACGTCTTCGGATAAGCAGAACAGCATCAGCTAACGATCTGAACATGGCTTCCAAGGTAAGCACTAAGAAAATCTTAAACATTTTCTAATCATTAATTTTATCCCTTTTTAGTTCATCATCTTTAGCGCCGTTGTAGCTTTGGCTTGTGCCTATGGACACGGAGGAGGTGGTGGAGGAGGAGGTCACGGAGGTGGCGGTGGAGGAGGTCATGGCGGAGGAGGAGGAGGAGGTCACGGCGGAGGCGGTGGAGGCCACGGTGGCGGTGGCGGCGGACATGGCGGAGGCGGAGGTGGAGGAGGACACGGTGGAGGAGGTGGTGGTGGTGGTGTTTCTTACTCCAACACCCACATGCACTCCGAAGGAGGCCACGGTGATGATGCTGGCGAAGACGACGGATACGGACATTACGTAAGATTAAGCCCTTTTTAAATAATTAATATTTTAAACATTATTCTTGAACATCGTTTAGTCTTATCCCGCATATAATTTCCAATACGGAGTGTCCGACGGAAAAACCGGAGATTCTCACTCCCAAAGTGAATCTCGTGATGGCGACAGCGTTAAAGGAGTCTACAAGATTAACGATCCTGATGGTACCTTGAGAATCGTACATTATGTAGCCGACAAAAAGAACGGATTTAACGCTTACGTTGAAAGACAAGGAAGTGCCGGACATCCAGCAAGCTATGGCGGAGGCGGCGGCGGTGGAGGACATGGAGGAGGCGGCGGCGGCGGTGGTCATGGAGGAGGTGGTGGCGGTGGAGGTCACGGAGGAGGATACGGTGGTGGCCACGGAGGATATGGAGGTGGAGGACATGGAGGTGGTGGTGGCGGTGGAGGTCACGGAGGAGGATACGGAGGTGGCCATGGAGGATATGGAGGTGGAGGACATGGAGGTGGTGGTGGCGGTGGAGGTCACGGAGGAGGATACGGAGGTGGTCATGGAGGATATGGAGGTGGAGGACATGGAGGTGGTGGTGGCGGAGGACACGGAGGAGGCGGTGGTGGTGGCCACGGAGGATACGGTGGTGGTGGTCACGGAGGAAGCGGTGGAGGTGGTGGTCACGGAGGAAGCGGTGGAGGTGGTGGTCACGGAGGATACGGTGGTGGTGGCCACGGAGGATACGGTGGTGGTGGACACGGAGGAAGCGGTGGAGGTGGTGGACATGGAGGAGGAGGTGGTGGTGGCCACGGAGGGTACGGAAGTGGAGGGCACGGAGGAGGAGGAGGCGGCGGTGGCCATGGAGGATATGGTCATTAAAAAGATCTTTTATTTTAAGACATCGCTTTCCTTTAGCTTGTTGGAATTATCGTATTTGTTGATTATATGTTTATATTAAAAATAAATAAATATTGTGTTGTTCTTCGTTAAATAACTATTTTATTTTAATTTTATTAAATTAACCTAACATTTTTAAACCTTAACTATGCCACACATACGAAGTATAAAAGGTGATTCAAAATGCAGCAGAACTGAAACCCATAGAAAGATTTTAACCATCATCTATGGTTATCCTTTGAAGGTAAACTGGAATCAAAATAGAGTTGATGAGTTCGAAAGCGACTCTGGAAATGTTGCAAATACTTTAGCTAATAATTTTCATAATATAACCCAACATGTTCCATGCATCATTCTAACGAGAAATGTTTCGACATTAATTTGGTACTAGAATTATTTCTTAATTTCCATAAATACCCCTTCCGCAATGTTTTAAGATTCATCTTGCATTTCACATTTCGAGATTAACCGTTTGAGTGCGAAACAAATTTTGTGAGGTCACCCCGCTCTTACCATAAAACTATAGGAGCGCTATCGCGCTTCCCGCAATTTTAGGTATAACCAGAGGAGCGCTATCGCGCTTCTCAACTCTCAAACGGTTAAGTTGAAAATGTGAAACAAACATATCTAATAATTTTTAAAATGCAGCTTAACATATTTTATACATCATTTTAAAGAGGAATATTTCAGCTTTAATTTTATACCAAAATCATTTCTTAATTTCAATAAAATTAATTTTTGATGTAGTAGATAATAAAATTAAAGGAAAATACAAAAAAAATTTTTTTAAATCATTTCTCAATTTCTTAATTTCATTTATTACTAAACAAACTGCTTTTTTCGAAAACTGCTATTGAAAGATGACTTTTGCGTAGTACTTAGCGACCGTCAAAACGATAGTTTTTTGTCAATAGGACGTAAAAGCCTTTTTTGTAATTCGCGACGATAATGAAAGCTATAACAGTACTCAAACGGGTGCTGTAATGAGACTCCTTACAGCATCCGATGCTGTAATGAGATTTTAGTAACATTTTATGGAACCAGTTCAAGTTGGTGACATTGGGTCATTAATTTTTCTAGTTGTCAATGTGACAATTTTTGTCTATGGATGTTTAAACACGTTCTTAGCATCGAATACAAAGTCCACAATGATGAGGACATTGACTCTGAGCAATTTCTCTTATTTTGGGGGGTGTACATCAAACATTTTTTCAGGTGAATATATTTTGTGTTTTGACAGTTTCTAATTGTCAATTCAAAGTTTCTATTTTCAAGTGTTCCGGTGTTACCAACTGCTACATACCTATTTCCCTACATTGCCAAAATTTACTTTATTTTTGTTAAAAAAAAGGATAAAAACGCGAATTACAAAAAATAGCATAAAAAACACGTTTCATAAGACTTAAAGCACTCATTCATTAAAAAACTCGTGGCTTCGCCACTCGTTTTTCAACTTGAATTCGTGCATTTCAAGCGTGTCTTACGAAACTTGTTTTTTAATATACTATTACGTCCAGCTACATCCAACTACGACAATCAAAGAATTTGATACTATTAATTGTTAATTTATTGTTATGAACAAATTATAAACACAAAATAATCAACATTTAATTGTTTTGTCATTTCATTTCATGTTTAAATGCAAATTTATAATAGAACATTTGTTCAATATGTGAGGTTAAATCGATGTGACGTTAAGTTTTTGACATAACAGTAAATGAATTCTAAATGTTATTATCCTGAATTTGGTCTTTTTATTAATTTATAACTTTAGAATACGCAGTTTTCGAAAAAATGTTGTTTGATACACGACAGCGAAATTCTTTTGCATTCTCGAACGATATAGCTCGCAAAAAAACTTTTATTCTCGAATGCAAAAGTGTCATTTCGCTATCTTGTATCAAAAATAACTATTAATTAATAAACATAATACTATTACGATATAAAAAGGTAGATCGTAATATAAATGTCTGTTATTCAATATCACATGGGAAAGCGTATAAACTAGAAATTTTAATATCCCCGTACCAATACTACAACCAATCATAGCGAAAATTGCACGCTTGGTCACTTGTCAAGATCCGGATTCCGTGTAATTGTGTCCAAAAAGAGCATTTTCCACCGTCGTATAACAAGCGCCTAAAACGCGGCATGAAATTTTTTTCCCCCAATTCCCCATTTAAAAATCGTTTAATTTATGCCGGGCGACCGGCGGCGAATTGGACCACATTTTTCGCATGACGGCTAATTACGGAAAATCAATTCCAAGCGTGAACAGATTGTTCTTAGCGTAATCTATTTCGTTTTTTTTTTAATTCTTGATTACACAGACCATTTTCGACACTTGTAGGTTTATGGTTTCGAACATTTCCGTATAAAAGCTGAAACTGGGTTACTATTCTCTATCAGTTTGTGATATCGATTCGTAAGAGCAACATGAATCTCAAGGTATTAATTTGTTACAATTTAAGTTGAATCTTAAAGGTGACTTCAAAGTGCAATTAGTGTACATCTTGTATTTTTTAATTACAATCACCAATGGATTACTATCTAACTTTTAAATAACGTGTTTTTCAGCTTTTATTTGGACTTTTCTGTCTTATGATGGTGGCGACCGCTTACGTTGTCCACGAGCATGGGGGTGGTGGCCACGGAGGTGGTCACGGAGGTGATGATGAAGGTCATGGTTGGGGAGGAGATGATGGCGGACATGGAGGTGACGACGGAGGACATGGGGGTGATGACGATGATGATTTTGGAGGACATGGCGATGATGATGAGGGTTATGGTGGACACGGTGGTGGTGATGATGATGGAGGACATGGAGACGACGATGGAGGTTACGGTGGAGATGACGGCGGCCATGGTGGCGATGATGGAGGTCACGGTGGAGGCGATGGTGGATATGGAGGAGATGATGACGGTCATGGTGGTGATGATGGTGGTCACGGAGGAGATGGTGGTCATGGCGGAAACGGTGGAGGACATGGTGGAAATGGTGGAGGTCATGGAGGAACCGGTGGTCACGGAGGAAACGGTGGAGGACATGGTGAAAGTGGTGGAGACCATGGTGGTCATGGAGGAAATGATGGAGGGCATGGTGGTCACGGAGGAAACGGTGGAGGTCATGGAGGAACCGGTGGTCACGGAGGAAACGGTGGAGGACATGGTGGAAATGGTGGAGGACATGGTGGTCATGGAGGAAACGGCGGAGGTCATGGAGGAACCGGTGGTCACGGAGGAAACGGTGGAGGACATGGTGGAAATGATGGAGGACATGGTGGAAATGGTGGAGGACATGGTGGTCATGGAGGAAACGGCGGAGGTCATGGTGGAGGACACGGTGGTTATGGTGGTTCTTCTTACAATAATGTCCATTTGGTATCTCATGCCAGTGGTCATGGCGGAAGTGGCGGACATGGTGGAGATGGTGGTCATGGCGGAAATGGTGGACATGGTGGAGATGCTGGACATGGAGGACATGGTGGAGATGGTGGTCATGGTGGTAACGGTGGTCATGGTGGAAAAGATGACGGACATGATTACTATGTACCAACATACATAATTATTATTTTAAATAATTTTTTAATAATTTTTTTTAAATTATTCCAGGCTCACCCAAAATACACTTTTGAATATGGAGTTGCCGATCCAAAAACTGGTGATAAACACGCTCAACATGAAGAACGTGTTGGAGATAAAGTTAAGGGATTTTATACTTTAAAGGAAGCTGATGGTACAGTAAGAACTGTTCATTACCAAGCAGACAAGAAGAACGGATTCAACGCTAACGTTCAAAGATCTGGTCAAGCTACCCATCCCGCCGGAGGCCACGGAGGTCATGGTGGGGATGGTGGAAAACATTAAATAGATAATACCAATGCCTCTAATAGTAGATCATTTTTTGTTATTTAGTAATTATTTAAAAACGGAATAGTTGTGTTATAATTTTTTCTGTTAAATAAAGAATTTGTTTTATATAATAATTATGACATTTTTCTTTTACTTTTTTACGTGTTATTTGAAAGCTAGTTTGAAATATTATTATGTTATGAAATGACGATTGGTATTCGTACAAAAAGTGTACTTAATAGAAGGCATTTTTACCTTCACTGATATTACAAAACCACAAAATTTTCTTTAATGTAACAAATAACAAACGTCGACGATTTGATGTATCGACTTGAATCGCTTAATATCATGTATTGACAACTTTATACATTTATGTGTCAGAAAAGCACTTTAAAAACACTTCAATTAAGAACAAGGATTCTTGTATACTGCTGCTTTCTTGATAAAGGTTTACGTCATTCCTGGATGATTACAATGGTGACAAAGTAAATATTATTGTTATAGGTGAGGAAGATGTCGGTCACAGAATAGATGCCTCATAAAACATCATTGAAGCTATAATCAACATCATTGAATAAAACTGCTTATTATTTATTCCAAATCTTTGAATCAAAAGTATTTATACCAACTAAAACCATCTTAATTTATGATATTGAAACATACTTTATTTTAATTACAAATTTATCACAACAAATACACATAAATACTTTAAATATAAACAATCCGTAATTGATTAACAATTAAAATTATTAATAATGTCCATCATGTCCTCCATGTCCGTAAACAGCTGGATGGGCAGCATGTCCTGATCTAACAACGTGGGCATTGAATCCATTGTGTTTATCGGCGGTGTAATGAACAGTTCTGATGGTTCCATCAGCTTCGTGAAGGGTGTAGTATCCTTTAACAACATCCCCATCACGTTCTTCGTGTTGCTCTTTGTTATCACCAGTGTGTTTATCGGCAACGCCATATTTGAAGTCATATTTTGGGTAAGCCTAAAGAATGATAGTTGTACAAATGATTACCTTTTTAAACTTTAATTTATATTTACATAGTAGTCATGACCATCATCTCCACCATGTCCACCATGACCCCCATCTCCGCCGTGTCCACCACCATAAGCATACAAATTGGTGTTTGCGTATGATTCACCACCATGTCCACCAGCTAAAACAGCCGATACAGCAAAAAGGGCAACGAGGGTAACCTAAAATTAAACGAATTAATCGTAATTATCAACTTTACATATCAATTAAGTTACTTTAGCGAACATTTTGGTTCTTGTTCTTGTTTTGAATACGATTTAAGAACTGATATAAAAATTGTCTCCGTCTTCAACTTTATATACCTACTTACCAATGGCGCGTTCTAAATATTACCAAAGATAAAAAGTAAAACCCGTACGTTACGGTACAATGATTTTTTTCATTAACCACCAACTTTGGAATAGTCACCGAGAAACAATCACATAACCCAGCCTATTACTACACACGTTTTATTTAACGAGAAGCGTATTTTAAGTTTTCCGTCGAAAAGTATTTAACACGGGTCATAAACTTCTTGAGAAAGTTAATTCTTTTTTTCGTCTAAAACATATACATCGAACAACAAAAAAAAATGTGTTGCAAGATAAAAATTGGGTTAACGTAGGCGTCATGCGTCTAACTTTGTCGAAATCAATCGCTTTGTCACCTCAAGGTCTTGTATTTTTCACCTCAAAAAACCGCAAACTCTTAATGCCACAATAATAATAAACAACGCAATAATCGAAGGAATTTTGTTAATTAAACTTTATTAGATTAAAAGTAATTTACTGTTTTGTACAATTTGATAAAATAAGTTTTGTAAGAAGTAATTATTGGTATCATTGTTACTTTTTTTTTCTTAAATTGTTATCTAATAAAAATCTATAACACCTTTCTGAAATACTAGAAAATAGTAATATTAACATAACTTAATGGATTACGTGGTATTGTTGCACGTGAAACCATCAAACCGTAACAATATCGTTGGAGTATTTTTTTATGCTGTTAATCAACCCATTCCACAAAAAGATTTTTGGTATATAAACCACAACCCACAAACGAGAGATATCAGTTGAATTATAACCATTTACAAAATAACAACAACGAAACCAAATAAGAAAAATGTTCTCTAAAGTAAAATATTATAACAAAAATCTTGATATAATTTATAAATTTAATTTAATTTTTCAGATTATCCTTGTTGCAATCTTTGCCGTATCAGCAGCTTTAGCTGGTGGACATGGTGGAGAATCATACGCCAACACCAATTTGTATGCTTATGGTGGTGGACACGGCGGAGATGGGGGTCATGGTGGACATGATGATGGACATGATTACTATGTAAATATCTTAGTTATTAAAATAATTATCTTTCTATATAAATTAATTCTTAGGCTTATCCAAAATATGACTTCAAATATGGCGTTGAAGACAAACACACTGGTGACAACAAAGAACAACACGAAGAACGTGATGGAGATGTTGTAAAAGGTTACTACACCCTCCACGAAGCCGATGGAACCATTAGGACCGTTCATTACACCGCCGATAAACACAATGGTTTTAATGCCCACGTTGTTAGATCAGGACACGCTGCTCACCCCGCTGTTTATGGACATGGAGGACACGGTCATGATGGGCACCATTAAGAATCCTTTATTTAATTTTAGACATTTTTATGATTTTTGTATGATGATTCCTTGTGTTGTGATAAATAAAAAATAAATTATTTTATGAATTCAAAAGAGGGTTTTAATTAAAAACTGTGCCAACATGAGTTATATTCGTACTGACTGTTCTGCACAAAGCGATTGATGTGTGGCCAAAAGAGTTGTCAGCTATACAACCATCTATCAAGCGATTGCAACGTACATATTAAGAAGTAACATGCAGAAGCAATTCCAGCTATAAAACAGTTATTTGTATGACAATGTTGCGATGCACTGATTATAATAATAAAACTGAGGACGCTTGCGACCTATTATCTTGATCACGTTAAAAGTACCCATTGTATAGCTTCGAATTCAAATTGTAGCCGAGGTCCCTTGCGGCCGAGGTAGTTACGATCCTCGATCACGTTTTATCTTTAAAGATCTTGATTGTGATCGTCTTGGTCTTCTGGTCAGCGTAATTCCTGTATAGTTCGACTTGAGTACGATGACAGATCGAGGAGTAGAATTGGTTCGGGTGGAGGCATAATGAGCCATGACCTGGGAAGAGGAGTCATTTTCATATATCAAGATGGGGTTGGACTCAAAAGTGTACATAGTACCTGAATAGCTGGATGTTGAAGCGTTAGGCTGATCAGAGAAGATGAAAGGCTACTACTTTGATTGATGTTGATTATGCGCAGATATGTTTAATATATGTATTTAGTTTATATATGTTTCTAGAGATTCAGAAAAGAATTATTCAATTAGTATGCTGAATACTTATCTGGTTAACTATAATTTTACAAATTACATGTCATAACTATAAGTCACGTCAAATATCATCATGACTTATCTTAATCATTATCAAATTAGCATAGAATTAATTACTAATACTAGTTCGTTTCTTTTCTATAAAACTTGTCAATGTAAATTTTTTAGGGTTTCTGTTGGTATTATCTAGGATCCTTATAAAATGTATGTTGTTTTCCTGATTTTTAGTAACATTTTCAGTAACTAAATAGTTGAGGTTAAAATACTAATAAATTTTTAGATAAATACAATTTTAACAAAGTACATATTTGTTGTAAAACGTGCTACAAGGTAACTAAATAGAACAAAACACCTTTTCTAAAATAAATGGCAAATAAACATCCCACAACATTTTTTATGCACCTTTTCTTTTTGAATAACGAAAGCTGAACAAAATAATACTCCCTGTTAATTTTGCCAACTTTACAACAATTTGGCAGGTATTATAGAAAGAAAATGAACAATAGGTTTGTTCGAGCAGCGGCAAAACCAATCTGCAAATTGGGAACGCATGCGCAGTATGGTAACGGTGTTCGAGCAGTAAATAAATCCCGAATTCTGACTTTTTCGACTACCAGTCGTGTGTTCGATCAGAATTTAGGATCAGCTGGGTACTGGTTGGGTATAGTTTTTACAATTTGCTGACTTTCGAAAAATTGTTGACGGATTGTGTACTGTCATGCGCAGTGGATACTTTGCGAGTTTGTTGGTAATAAACGTAGCACGTCGAGAGGGCGACACAATCGATTTATATTTGTAAACACAATATCCGCTTTATTAATCTGTAATTGTTGTTAACACGTTCTTAAGTACCTAGTATAAATCAGAGTATAAATAATCATGTCCGATATTTCGTCGTCAAGTGAAGATGTGCCTTTAGTAAATTTTGAGTCAAGTGATGATGACCTAGAAGGTGAATTACTTGATACACCAGTGCGAATAAGGCCAAAAAATGAAGAGTACTTCGAAATAACAGTACAACAGTATAGCGACTCAGAATTTATGGAACATTTTCGTTTGAGTAGAGTAGTTGCTGAAGATCTAGCAAATCGATTTAAAGCCAGCCAGTATTATAATTATCAAGCCGGAGGAAATGGAAAATTAACAGAAAAACAACATATATTAATATTTCTGTGGTTTGCTGGTCATCAGACGGCTTCTTTCCGAGATGTAGCTGATAGATTTAATATTAGTATAAGTTCCCTACAAACTGTAATCCAGCGAACAGTGTATTTTATAAGCAACCTATCAGACGAAGTAATACAATGGCCATATACAATGTTTAATACAATGTTTTCATATTTTTACTGTTCGAGCTTTGACAAATATCGTACTAGTTCGCAATTAATCGTTACGTGCGCATGCGCATTCATGAATGCACTAATTTGTCACAAACTAATACCTAATTCTCTGCTCGAACAAACCTAATAGTTAATAGTTAATTAATAGAATTGACATTAAACTATAAATTAATTAATTTTCAATTCAATGAATAACTAAATTTGATAAAAATAAATTTTATTCTTTTTACAACAATTATTATCACAAAAAGAGTGGAAAAAAAGTCTAATAAAACAAATTCATGAATCTAATCGATCAGTGTTTTCCATCGTCTCCTCCATGCCCATAAACAGCGGGATGTGCAGCATGTCCAGATCTAACAACGTGGGCATTGAATCCATTGTGTTTATCGGCGGTGTAATGAACAGTTCTGATAGTTCCATCAGCTTCGTGGAGGGTGTAGTAACCTTTAACGACATCCCCATCACGTTCTTCGTGTTGTTCTTTATTATCGCCAGTTTTCTTGTCGGCGACACCATATTTATAATCATATTTTGGATAAGCCTTAAATAAAATGAAGTTAAATAAAATTACATAACATTAAGTATACTTACGTAATGATCGTGGTCTTTATGTCCCCCATCTCCACCATCACCACCGCCATGAGAATAAAGATGATTATTGGCGTAAGATTCAGCTTTATGAGCTAACGAATACGTAATTGAAGCCAAAATGGTTAAAACGATGATTTTGAATGTGAACATTTTGAGGAGTTAGTTGGTTGTTTAACAGATAAAGTTATAATTGAACTGATAAAAATTCGTTTGGTTGTAAGGGTTTATATACCCGAAAAGTTTTATAATGAAGTTGGAAAAAAAAACAACAAACTATTTTACAAGAGATTTACTACGTAATATTGCGTTACGGTTTTCTAGTTTTATATCTATTGAACCTCCGCTATAGAATTGTATAAAAAAACTTTAAGAAAAAAGGTTTAAATTCTTTTACACGAACGAGTGGGCATCTAGTTTATTTAAATTTAGAGTATTAACAAGGCCGTTTTAAAACCAGCTACAATCAGGTTATCTAAATTAAAAAATCATCCACTTACTTATACACCTAACTTACCCGCAATGTTTGGAATTTCAAATCTGATGCAATTTCTGTATATAAGAGGAACACGAACTGTTTAATTTCTACTCAGTCAACATCAGTTAACCGAGAGAATCAACAGTCAAAATGAAAATTTTCTTCTTATTAGCTACTTTATTTGTGCTTTTCCAACTTTACGCAGCTTCAGATTACAACGTAAGTTACTTTAAATTAGTATTAACTAAATTATTTATTGATAAAGAACCATCTATGAACAACCTTAATAATCAACAAATAAACTTAGTTTGTAGTCATGGATAAGAGATGGCAATTTACTTGTATTGTTAAATTAATTTTTAAACAAATAATTTTTTTTTAATTGCAGGCCCGACCACGTTACGATTTTAAATACGGAGTGGAAGATGATCACACCGATGATCGCAAACAACAGGAAGAACGTCGTGATGGTGGATTAACCAAAGGAAGTTATGAACGTCAACAGAAGAATGTTTATCAGAGATTGCGTTATGTTGTTGATTCGCAAAAACGTTATTAAATCATCAATTTTGTGTCAATAGATTCTAAGATTATTTTATGTTTTTTTGTGAGAGAGGTGAAAGGAAATAAAAGGATTTTTTAACATTAAAACTTAATTTTGTGTTCTTTTATATCAACTTGAATATACATTTTTAATTCGTTTTCATGAATCATTAAATAAATAATGTACTAAATGAGCAAGAATTGTTTTGATTGAGATTATCTTAATTTGGCGATCAAATTATTAATAACATATCTAGGTTAAATTTGTACGTTTACCTGTTTTATACGTTTTGAGGTAAAGAAAGTGAAATGTAGCGCATGAATGTAAATATTATTTTTCATTTTTGGGGTGTTGCAATCAAAATAATAAGCGTGAAGGCTGATTGACGCAATTACGCACTAAATATTGGAATAAACGATAGCCAATCTATATGGAACATTTATTTCTAAATTTTTTAAAATGAATTTGTTTATTAAAAAGTTGACTCTTATAATAGCTTTTTAGGAATTAGATTTTATACAAATTTGTCAAATTGAAATCAATGCTTCTTAAAAATATCTATTAAAAAACTGTCCAAACGAAAGAAAAACTTAAAGTTTTGCATAAGTTAACCTCAAACATTCTTCTGTAACGCCACGAAGTTTAATTTTTCTATTCTAAACTGTTTTGGAGAAAAACATTATTTTGACATTCGTTTTCAGAAACCCTCAAATTGAAATCAAATCTTATTAAAAAAACTGTTCAAATAGAAAACTTAAAATTTTGCATAAGTTAACCTCAAACATTCTTCTGTAACGCCACGAAGTTTCATTCAATTCTGAACCGTTTTGGAGAAAAACATCTTTTTTAATATTCATTTGCAAGAAACGTCAAATTGAAATTGGCAATTTATAAACTTATTTGTAAAATGATGTTTGATCTGACATCTTAATATTTAGTACAACCTCAAACATTTCTTTATAACAAAACTGGAAGTTTTAAATTTATTTTCCTAAGAATAATAATTTAAATTTAGTTGTTTTGGGATATCCAAAACTCTTATTGCCAATTTAGTTCAATTAGTGTACGTCATACGCGTTTAAAATGTAGAACGCACCTCTTAAAAGCGAGTTTCGTGCGGCGCATTGGTCCTAATTAATACTTATAAGCATAAACAAGAATTTAATATATTCCACACAAAATACGAAACCAAAAAAATCTCCCCCTCGACGTAAACGATTTCAATCCTTTTGATACCCTTACAAACAGCACATTCACGATAATCCTTCGAACGTAATCGCCTTTCAACTATCAACATTTGTATAGTTAGTATAAAAGAGGCAAATTTCGTTTCAACATGATCAGTTTCGTTCAGAGTTTGCTTCCAACGATGGTATTCAAGGTGTGCTTAACCCATCCCCACACAAAAAGAAGATTTTTTAATCTTTTTCATTCATATAGATTTTAGTTATTTGTACCGCTATTTCGGCGGTTATCGCTGAAGGTGGCCGAGGAGGTGGCGCCCAATCTTATATTCAATATCAAGGACGTGCTGAGGGTGGAAACTGGGGAGGACGTGGAAACGATGGAGGTGGAAGATGGGAAGGAAATTGGGGCGGAAATGGAAATATGGGTGGAGGTGGAGGTGGTGGTGGTGGTGGAAGGGAAGAAGGTGGAAATGGAAGAAAATGGGAAGGTGGTAATGAAGGAAATTGGGCAAATGGTGGAGGTGAAGAGAGAAGATGGGTTAAAAGTTGGGGTGGAAATGGTGGTGGAGAAAGAAGAGAAGAAACAAATAGAAACGAAGGTGGATGGAATCGTGGAGGCGATGAAGGTGGAAGGTGGGAAGGAGGACAAGGATGGAATCGAGGAGGTGGAGGCGATGAAGGTGGAAGAGGATGGGAAGGTGGACAAAGATGGGCTGGAGGAGATGGAGGAGGTGGTGGTCATGGAGCTCAATCGAATATAAACGGAAACCTTAAATCTTATTCTAATCATAAAGCTGATCAAGATGAAGGTTTACATCAATCAGTAAGAAATAAATTTAATTCTGAATCAATTATTATATTTTAAATATTTTAGCATCGTCCTCATTACCAATTCAATTATGGAGTAGCCGATAAGCAAACTCACGATAGACACGAGCAACAAGAAAAACGCGATGGGGATCGAGTTGAAGGTTATTATTCTTTGGACGAACCTGATGGTACGGTAAGAATTGTCCATTACACAGCCGATCACAAAAATGGGTGGAATGCTCGCGTTGAAAGACGTGGGCATGCAGTGCATCCGGAAGCTAATAATCGTGGACATGGAAGAGAATAAGTTAAAGACTATAATCTTCATGTAGGAAGAAAAAAATTAACAACGGATGTTAACTAATTATTAATTAATGTATTTTTTTGTAAATATCTTAAGTTACTATTTTTCTTTAAATTAATTATTGTTACCGCTGTGTTTGATTATTATTTTTTTTTAATAAAGTAGCGTTTCATTATTTTTGTTGATTTGATTTAATTGAAATAATAATACAGTGATTAAGAAAATTATTGAGATTATTATTTTAAACATGACCACCATGAAGTTTTGATTTTGTACGGTTTAAAATTAGCCATCCAATGTCTAGTTTAAACAACAAATTAATAATAAAGCAAACAAGGCATTATTAAAGTCCTTATAAATTATATTATTTTATAAATCCCAAGTAATTTATCATTAAGTCGATTAAGTTACATAACGGTGTTTAAAATCTGGTTTAATGTGCTTACGGACAAAGAGTAGAAAGTATTAAATAACACGTTATAAACAACTGAAAAAAGCAAATAAAATTAATTCAAAAAATTGATATGGTGTTTTATTGTTTTCAAAATAAATATATTTCGATTTAGATTACTTTCAATGGCACAAATAAATTCGCATTAATTTAAGTTAATGTTCTGTAACGAAACAAAGAGAATGCTTACAATTAACTAATTAATAAAATAATTAATAGGAATTAACGATTTTTATTTTTTAATAAAAGAATAAAAAAAAGAATCAAAATTTATATGGTCAAAAATTTCTGTATTAAAAAAAAAACAACAATAATAATTTATTTATGTGCATTTCATTATGGTAAAGGCCTAAATCTACTTTCAACCACTTTCAAAGTGTATATAAACGAATTAATAACCCAATAAACCTTAGTTCGTATCCAAACACCAAAATCAAATCACGTTTTCCAAGAAAATTATTAAGAAAATCATGGTTTTCAAGGTAAACAAAAAAAATTTGTTATTATTTTAACGAATTCTTTATTCTTATTCTTTAGGTTATCATATTTTGTGTACTTCTTGTTGCGGTAACAGCCGAAGGAGGTGGTCGTGCTGAATCGAATATAAACGGAAATCTTCATTCCTACGCTAACCATAAAGCCGATCAAGATGAAGGATTCGACCAATCAGTAAAGATAATGGTCAACATAAAAATTTATTTTCTCACATTTTTTTTTAGCACAAACCTCGTTATGAATTTAATTATGAAGTAAACGATCGAAAAACTAAGGACCAACATCAACAAGAAGAAAGACGCGATGGTGACCGAGTCGAAGGACGTTATTCTCTTCATGAACCCGATGGCACTGTTAGGATTGTAACTTACACTGCAGATCATAAATCTGGATGGAACGCGCGTGTTGAAAGGAGAGGAAAAGCTGAGCATCCAGAAGCGAACAGTCATGGACATGATGAAGATTAAGAAAAATTTGAAAATGTTTTGGGGGTAAAAATTATCTTTGTTGTTACAAAAAAATGTTAAAAGATAAAAAAGAAACGAACTCAACGGATGACTTGTTATGCTTTTGTTGTTAATTGTATATATATTTGTTGTTTGCATTAATAAATTATTTGAATATAAAATAGAAATGTTTTAGTTTATGAAAGAAATTTTAACCCTTAAGGACCAAGATATACAGGGTGTATCTGAATGACTGCAACAAACTTCAAGGGGTGATTCTTTAGTGAATTTTAAGGGTACTTTGATATATGAACCATGGGCGACTTCGGCTCCCCTAAGGAGTTACACCCCTTCAAAAATGGCGGAAAATTTTGGTTTAATTTTTTTTTCTCAAAAACCATAAACGCTAGGACAACGAAATTTGGGGAATATATTTAACTGGTAGTAGGGTACGTTTTCACCCATTTTGTACTTTCAACCTATCCTTCTAAACTACTAAACGTAACCACCCCCTTTACATTTTTGCTAAAATTTTTTTATGCAGAGGGTAAATACATTAAAAAAAAAATTACATAGGTAGATGAAAGTATCCTAAAACTTTTTTGTCTCTCTAAAATTTTTCCAAAAACGACTAATTTTTGAGAAAAAAAAAATAAAGTAAACACTGCCCGTTCAATAACGGGGTTGTCGATCAAAAGTTGCAATGAATTTTTAATGAAAAAATCTTAGTAGGCTTTGCAATCTTTGTCAGAAATATTTTTGACGTTTAAATGTCAGTGGTTTTCTTACTATTATTATTGTTTTTCAAATTAATTTATGAATAAAGTTCTACCGCATTTACGCTCGTTCACTGGACGTTTCAAAATTTTAAATAAAATAATAATAATAGTAAGAAAACCACTGACATTTAAACGTCAAAAATATTTCTGACAAAGATTGCTAAGCCTGCTAAGATTTTTTCTTTAAAAATTCATTCCAACTTTCGATTAACAACGCTACAGCTTAACAGTTAGTGTTTGTTTAATTAATTTTTTTCTCAGAAACTATTAACTTTTCGAAGAACATCAGAGAGGCAAAAAAGTTTTAGAATATTTTTGTCTATCTAAATAAAATATTTCCAATGTATTTATCATCGTCATAAAAAAGATCTAGATAAAAATTGAACGGGGGTGGTTATGTTTAGTAACTTAGAAGGGAACATTGAAAGTACAAATAGGCTCGAAACATGCCCTATTATAAGCTAAACATATTTCCCAAATTTCATTTTCTTGGTGTTAATGGTTTTCGGGAAAAAAAAAATAAACCAAAATTGTACGCCATTTTTGTCGAAATCGCTGATAGTTTATATGAGAAAGTACCCTTAAAATTGCCTAAAGAATCACCCCTTGAAGTTTGGGCAAGTCATTCAGATACACCCTGTATACGCAAAATAAAAAGTATCTCATAGACCAAAACCGTATCTACACGCAATATCGGAATCACGCTTTCATAAGGTTTTAAACGTTTTGATTAAATGTGTTGACAAAACACATTGTTTTTCTTAGTCTTGATAAAAGTTTAAAAGTTGTCATCGTAAAGTTAAAACTTTTGGTTAAACTTGTGCAGAAGATAGACAGTAAATCTTGCAATAATACGGTAGATCAACACTGTACGTTTAAATTTTATATAATCTGAATTTAGTTAAAACCTGTTCGAATTAATTATAACCTGTCACATATTTTTACCATAAAAAATTTTATAGAGCATTGTCCCTTCGGAATGAAGGTGTACTTTCACCAATATAATCGAGTAAAATTAAGTTATAAATCGCTTAAACGTAATCAACGAAATATAAATCATCATTTATAAAAAGAATATAAAATAAATGTATTATCAAAGTTTTAATCTTAATTTAATTTGATACTAATTGAGTTTTATGGTGCTATAATACGATTATACAATCCCATTTTAAGTTTTATGATAATGAGTAGAGAAAAAATTAGTTACATAAAAATTTTGGTAAATTGAACGATTAGATTGTTTATCGAATATTTTTGTCAAAGTAAAAATTGTAACGCGACAGAATAAGTAAATAAGACTTAATTAATTAACTGATAATCGATCGAATTTATTATATAAGTTAAACAAAAAATTTGTGCGAACCACCTTATGAGTGGGTTGCTTTATAAACAAAGTACGAAATCAACTTTCGTTTTCAGGAAGGTGTAAAATGGGTGTGTTCCTTTCCTTTTTCCCTATATAAACGAGGTAATTTTCTCGAAAAAATTATCAGTCTTAAGTTACATCTTGAGAAATAAAAATTGAATCAAAATGATTTCAAAGGTATCAAATAAATCACAATTTCATTTAATTTTTTTAATAATTTCAATTTTAGATCTTCATCGCAGCTACTTTCTTAGTAATTTCTTCTACAGCCCCAATTGATCATCATGATGGTGCTACATCTTACGTTTCATTAAGTTTGGGAGGACATTCTCAAGGAAATCCGCAATATCAACCTTCATCAGCTTACGTTCAAAAAGAAATTCCAACTTTAATTAAATATCCAACGTATTCTTCTTTACCGACTTATTCTTCTGTACCAACATATAATCAACACGAAGAAAAGGAATACGTAGGAGTTTTTATTTTAATTTTAAAAAATTATGTTAATTCTTACTTTTTTGTCCAGGGTCCAGCTCAATATGAATTTAAATACTCAGTTGAAGATAAACAAACAGGTGATATTAAATCTCAACATGAAGTAAGAAATGGGGATAAAGTTCAAGGGGAATATTCTCTTCACGAAGCTGATGGCACTATAAGAACTGTTAAATATTCAGCTGATAAACACAGTGGATTTAATGCGGTTGTTGAAAGAACTGGTCATGCAGCTCATCCTGAAGTCGTACCTGTTAAACCAGTTCCAATAACTTATGATTATTACAAACATTAAAAATTTGTTATAAAAGTGTTTTAAATCAATTTTTATAGAAGAATTTATTATTAAATCAATTTTTTTAGATTAATATTTGTATTACATAAATAAAGGTATTTAAAAATACTTTTTTATCTTGACGTGTTCAATTCTCTTCTTGACCTTCCCAACACAAATTGCATTACCCCACTAAATAATCACCTGTTCCAATTTTCGCAACTCTTATTACGCAACTAAACCGCCAATTGGTTCCGCCGCTTCGACACCGAAACACAATAGAAATGGTTATTATACAAAGAAATGGTAACCTTGCCATCTCAAAACTTTAACTGAACAACAAATTCTATACAAAATGTAATTACCTCTCACCTTCTATCTAAGTGTAATGAAAGGTTTTAAGAAAACACAGCTTTAAATGATTATAGAAAAATAATACTGTATTTTTTGTAAATTTTAATCAATTCTAAATGAGCCTCAAACCGTTTCGTTCTTCAAGCTTCTCATCCTGAGAATTTCCTAAACGTCCTTGGTCTCGTTGTTTCTCTATGTTGCTCTTGATCTACCAGCTTTGCTATGATATACATATACAGGGTGTCTCAGCGAGACCGGTCATTAGACGTTTCTAGGGTTCTGGCGAAAATAAAAATATGAGAATTCAGACTTAAGTATTATCAATTACGATCTCTTCGTCTAAAATATTTTCAGATTTCTTGCACTTCCGGTTATACCGGAAGTCGCCACCAACTTTATTTTTTTAAATGGAACACCCTGTATATTTTTACATATTTGGATTTGTCTGTTTTCAAGGTTTATAAATAACTTTACTTTTTGCAATTTGATTCGGTCGTTCTCGAGTTATTCGAATTTTTCTAGAAAAATCTGCTCCAGCAGACATTTGTTCAAAAAATCAGAAAACACTCAATTTTTGGGATATCAATTTAGGATTGAGAACATGCTTAAGCAACATGATGGAGTATGTTTTGGTGCCGAGAACTGCGGTCTAGAACGTTTGATCACTTTACTATGGCACGTTAACTTTTCAAAATTTGGAAGTACCATAACTTCATTTTTTTAAATGGCACCCCCCATATTTTATTTTTTAGTCGTCTTCGGTGTCTCATTCTACATCTTTTATATCCCATATGTCCCATACCTAATATTAATAGTTTGGGAGATAATTAGGGTTTTTTGAAAAATGCACACATATCATATGGATATTTAGCCTAGTGTGCCATGAAAAACAAGCCTTCTCAATGAGTTCTTGTCAAAGACTCACTTGTTTACGTCACTTGATGCATGTGAGCTAATAATTATCTGTTATGTCCCTTAATATTAGTACTGAAACGAGTTAAAATCGATAACAATAACGAAAGTAATATTTACACAAATCAAGAAATTCTTAATTTATTTTTTTTGCATGAAAAGCGCGACAAAGTTCGTAGTATGATTCCCAGATCTTCTTTGGCAGCTCGAATTGAGGTGTTGGGACTGGGCTCGAAATAAGCCAAGGTATTCACCTCTTCCGTTGCATTATCTACTACATTTTTTGGTCAGTTTAACACGTGATTAATTCGTCCAAAATGCAAAAAATTTGCTTCTATTCCTCTAAATTTACCTTTTGTCATCGGAGATAAATGTGGATAATTTTCATTAAACATTCTGCAAGTTCTACTAAGAACTTTGTCGCACTTTTCGTGCACAAAAAATAAATTATGGATTTCTTCATTTGTATAAACATTATTTACGTTATTAATATCCATTTTAACTGGTTTTAGACTCACAAGCATCAAACAACGTAAATCAGACTTTGACGTTTATCAATAAGTCATTAAACATTTGTTTTCCATGGCACACTAGGTTAATATCGATATGATATGTGAGCATTTTTCAAAAAACCCTAATTATTTCTCAAACTATTAATGTTAGGCATAGGACATATGGAATATAAAAGATGTAAAATGAGACGCCGAAGACGACTAAGTAATAAAATATGGGGGGTGCCATTTAAAAAAATGAAGTTATGGTGCTTCCAAATTTCGAAAAGTTAACGTATCATAGTAAAGTGACCAAACGATCTAGACAGCCGTTCTCGGCACCAAAACATACTCCATCATGTTGTTTAAGCATGTTCTGAATCCTAAATTGATATCTCAAAAATTGAGTGTTCTATGATTTTTTGAACAAATGTCCGCTGGAGCAAATTTTTCTAGAAAAATTCGAATAACTCGAGAATTGCTGGTTCAAATTGCAAAAAGTAAAGTTATTTATAAACCTTCAAAACAGACAAATCCAAATATGTAAAAATATACAGGGTGTTCCATTTAAAAAAATAAAGTAGGTGGCGACTTCCGGTATAACCGGAAGTGCTAGAAATCTGAAAATATTTTAGATGAAGAAAACGTAATTGATAATACTTACATCTGCATTCTCAAATTTTTTGTTTGGCCAGAACCCCAGAAACGTCTAATGACCGGTCTCGCTGAGACACCCTGTATAGACCTATGAGATCTATTATAAATCCTCCAAAGGTTTAGGGCAAATCTAGGTCTCTGATGAACCTTAGTATTGCTGCAATGCCTTGTTCCTTTATGTCAGTAGGTGTCCGACAAACCGTTTCGAAAATTTTGCACAATACGTATGGCCGCTCAGGAAATATGAGAACGAATAGGGAGTAGAATGTACTCTTTCCAGTGGCTACTCGTTTTTGTATTTCGAGAGTCTCATCGTTTTCGTTATGTACACTGCTGCCCAGGTAGCTGAGGAGTCCACCATTTCGAAGTTGTAGTCTCCAATTGTGACGCTCTACCCAACAAGATACCTAAGACTCTTATTCTGAATCATGAATTTGGCTTTGTCTTCTTTGATCCTTAGTCCAACCCCTTTTCCAGCAGTTTCGAAGTTTACAAAGACTTCCTTGACCGCCTCATTGATTTGCCAAGGATATTAATGTCATTTGCATCAAGGTTGTGTTTAGACCGACTTCGCTTCTTCTCATAACATATTGAAATGATATGTTGAAGTGTGTGGAGGCTATTTTGTCTCCTTGTTTCAGTCCTAAAGACAGTTTGAATTCGATTTCACTCGACATGTTGTGCTATATAACATGCATTTGAAAAGCCACACTAATTTGAATGGTATATTATGGTCGCGCAATATGGTGTAGAGTTTATTTCTGACAACGCTGTCGTATGCTTGTTTGAAGTCTATGAATGTGTCAAACTCAAAAAAAAATAATAAAACTTTAGTAGTAGTAATTTTAATTGAAATCGAAAATTTGTATATGAAAACAACGTAACATTTCAAAATTATTTAAAAATGTAAACTAACACTCGTTAAAACGTAATAAATCAATGTCGTTTATGCTGTTATTTAATGCAGGATTATTCCGGTTTTTGATTAATGAATTTTCGCACGTATTGGTGATATTTAATTGGGAACTGTTTGGCATACGAAAAAGATCGTTACGTCAGAATTACGCAGAACACGTCACAACCAAAATTGGGTACCCAAAAGCGATAAAAAGAAAGAAAAAATGCGCGTACGTCGTGCGACAAGAGCCGATATAATTAGCTCAACGTGTCCGGATTGGTAACAGGAAAAAGTAATTTTTTTTTCGGAGCCTGAAACAACTTTCATATTCGCCCCCTAACGTATCACTACCTATATAAATGAAAGGAATTTTTTTAAGGAATCACACTTGAAAACTATTCAAAATCAGGAGAACAACTCAATCGAATTAAAATGATTTCAAAGGTAATTAATTAGTGAAATTTTATAAAGGTAAATAATTTATTTCGATTAAATTTTAGATTTGCATCGTAGCTAGTATCTTAGCAATTTCTTCTTCAGCCCCAGTTGATCATCATGATGGTGCTACATCTTACGTCTCATTAAGTTTGGGGGGACATTCTCAAGGAAATCATCAACAATATATTCCTCAACCACAATACCAACCATCATCAGTTTACGTTCAAAAAGAAACTCCAACTTTAATTAAATATCCAACTTATTCTTCTTTATCAGCTTATTCTTCGTTACCAGCATATAACCAACATGAAGAAAAAGAATATGTAAGACTTTTTCTAATCAATAATAATTCCTCATTTTTATTTGTATTTTAGGGTCCCGCTCAATATGAATTTAAATATTCAGTTGAAGATAAACACACTGGTGACATTAAATCTCAACATGAAGTAAGAAACGGAGACTCAGTTCAAGGGGAATATTCTCTTCACGAAGCTGACGGTACCATTAGAACTGTTAAATATACAGCTGATAAGCACAGCGGGTTTAATGCAGTTGTTGAAAGAAGTGGACATGCCACTCATCCAGAAGCTCCTGTTAAAACTGGTGTTCGTTCAGTTCCGTTAGCTTATGATTATTATAAGAATTAAAATTAAGAATTTTAATTACTTTAAGCAATTATTTTTTGTTAGATGAATTTTATAAAATAATTTTTATAGATTAATGAGTGTTATTGAAGGTTTAAATAAAGCTTTTAAATGATTTTAATGTGTCTAATTAACCTCTAATATGGGAAAGTTAAGATTTGGTATAATCTAACTTTAAACGTTCTTTTATAACCTCAAAAAGTTTCATTTCTTAAATCAAAGCCGTTTTGCAAAAAACATTTTTTTTAACTTCACTTACATTATGTAAGTCGTCAATTTTAAAATGCAATTTAAAAAAATATATACAGGTGTCCCGTTAAGCGTACGGAGCGGCTGTATCTCTAGAACGGTAAGACCTAGAGGTTTGGGAAAAAATCCTTATAAGCAAAGTGACCAAGAGAAATAGCTGGAAATTATTTTGAAGTTCGTAATTCGACCGCTAGGGGGCGTAACTGCCATTGAGAAACATAAAGTTCCCGCTATCTCAGAAACTTAGACGATGAGCTATAACTTTGACAACATCATTTAATAGCTTGGATAATACCGCATCGCTTTTGTTTTGCGATATTTCTCATATCTGTCATAATAAGGGAGGGGGAGGCCAATGCGTTTTCATATGTTTACATTTTAATATCTCCTAGACCATTCAACCGATTTGAATGTTTTCGGTGTTGTTTGAAAGAGCATTTTATGCTCTTTTTAAAGATATTTTCAGTAAGACCGTCTGCTTTAAAACAAATGAGCTAGAGGACGTTATCTGCAGCGATTACATATTTTTGTGATTTTTGAAGAAAAGTTAAATGGAACGATACTATTTACTTCACAGACCCTTAGTCACCTTAAAATTTGCTAAATTTTAGTGAAAACCGCATCTCGATATCGCCACCCGTTCTCGAATTATAGAAGAAAATGTTAAAAACTCGAGTGCCATCAATCGGATCCAGTTACCTCATCGAGAAAAACAAATCACATAACCATGGTAACTGTAAACATGTCATTTACTAACGCAGAAGCGTATGATAGAGCGTATGATGATTTATTTTCAATGTTTCGAATACGATGCAACTGCATGGCAAAAATGTGCAATGCAATTACGACAAAGAAAGACATTTTTCTCTAGAAGTGTTTTTAAGATTGACTTAGCGATTACGGAAAACTGGCAACGTGTAGCCCATTCAGACATCTCTATGAATTCGTAAATCATATTGGTGCGCAATGTGATCCCACATAATCTGGGAACTCCGAAAACAATTGTCCACAAGAGTTCTCAAGAGAATAATATCTCCACCACGTTGTTTTACATCAGGCCTTAACAGATACCGATTATGATAACAGACTGAACTATTACCATTGACTTTTAAATATGATTTGGGCAAATCCAAACCTTTTATCACAAATGCTATGGATGCATGAAGCATCTGTCCACAAGCTGATGTAAACTTGCATAATATGCATTCTTGGTTCGAGCAAAACCCACATTGCTTTCACCCCTTTATCTATTGGGTAGACTAAACGACCTGACTTTTCAAGAAAAACCAATAACCAGGGAAAATATGACAAAACACTAAATACCAGTAGAAACGTGTCCAGGGCCGAGACTTAAGCAGCGCTTTTTTTTCGTCGAAACTAGATTAAATAAATGCATCGAGGTTTATGGAAGGCATTTCGCACATTAGTGAGTTATTTTTGCCAAAAATTTAAGTTATTCTAAGTGTTTTGGTTTATTTTGTTTTATTATCATTGTTGATGTTTCATTGATCCGTTGGCTTTTCAACACGCCTCAAAAGTAGTTTTGAAGCAGTTCTAAGCTTGGATAAAGTGTGAAGGAAGGTTCTAGATAATAAAATTTTTGTTCTCTCTTATTTGTTTCCTAAGGTAACTTGATCCGATTAAGATATACGAATTTTTAACATTTTCTTTTATAATTCGAGAATGGATGGAGATATCGAGATGCGGTTTTCACTAATATTTAGCAAATTTTATGGTGATTAACGGTCTGTGAAGTAAATAGTACCGTTCCATTTAACTTTTTTTCAAAAATCACAAAAATATGTAACCGCTGCAGATAACGCCCTCTAGCTTATTTGTTTTAAACCAAGCGGGCTTACTGAAAATATCTTTTAAAAGAGCATGAAATGCTCTTTCAAACAAGACCAAAAATATTCAAATCGGTTGAATGGTCCAGGAGATATTAAAATGTAAACATTTGAAAACGCATTGGCCTCCCCCTCCCTTATTATGAGAGATATTAGAAATATCGCAAAACAAAAGCGATGCGGTATTATCCAAGCTACTAAATGATGTTGTCCACGTTATAGCTCATCGTCTAACTTTCTGAGATAGCGGGAATTTTATGTTTCTCAATGGCAGTTACGCCCCCTAGCGGTCGAATTACGAACTTCAAAATAATTTCCAGCGATTTCTCTTGCCCACTTTGCTTATGAGGATTTTTTCCCAAACCTCTAGGCCTTACCGTTATTGAGATACAGCCGCTTCGTACGCTTAACGGGACACCCTGTATAAAATGAACTGTTGACCTTGGACCGTTAACATTTGGTGTAATCTAACTTCAAACGTTCCTTTATAACCGCTTCTTAAATATTAGATGTACCAAAACTTTATGTCGCTTAATGTATGCGAATACTTTTATTTGGGATAAAAATCCTCCTTAAAACCATTCAACTTTATTTAATCAAATCACTTAAAACACATCAAAACCAAATTACGTTAAGGAATTCCTATTAGAGTTACATAGCAGTAATCAATTATGTAATTTGATCTTGTTCTAAAACCCGCACAGTTTCAACCATCCAGTAAAAAAATTCAGCTAGAAAGTGAATTTGTACAAAGCGGCGAACCCAGATGCTTATTAGCCTATTAAATTGTATTTATTCATGGTCAATTTTGCGTCAAAATAAAAAAAAATAATAAATCATATACACGTAATAAAATCTAAATAATAATTTGATTAAAAAATTAANTAGCTCATCGTCTAACTTTCTGAGATAGCGGGAATTTTATGTTTCTCAATGGCAGTTACGCCCCCTAGCGGTCGAATTACGAACTTCAAAATAATTTCCAGCGATTTCTCTTGCCCACTTTGCTTATGAGGATTTTTTCCCAAACCTCTAGGCCTTACCGTTATTGAGATACAGCCGCTTCGTACGCTTAACGGGACACCCTGTATAAAATGAACTGTTGACCTTGGACCGTTAACATTTGGTGTAATCTAACTTCAAACGTTCCTTTATAACCGCTTCTTAAATATTAGATGTACCAAAACTTTATGTCGCTTAATGTATGCGAATACTTTTATTTGGGATAAAAATCCTCCTTAAAACCATTCAACTTTATTTAATCAAATCACTTAAAACACATCAAAACCAAATTACGTTAAGGAATTCCTATTAGAGTTACATAGCAGTAATCAATTATGTAATTTGATCTTGTTCTAAAACCCGCACAGTTTCAACCATCCAGTAAAAAAATTCAGCTAGAAAGTGAATTTGTACAAAGCGGCGAACCCAGATGCTTATTAGCCTATTAAATTGTATTTATTCATGGTCAATTTTGCGTCAAAATAAAAAAAAATAATAAATCATATACACGTAATAAAATCTAAATAATAATTTGATTAAAAAATTAACTTTTTACAAGAATTATTAGTGTTATAATCAGGGCACGGAACTTTTCTAACAAAACGATAAGATATCCCCCCTCCACTCATTCTCAGAAAATCTTGATTAAAAGAACAGCATACTGTTCAGTGGGAAATTAAAATTTCAAGTTAGAAAAAAATTGTGTTAACAAAAATTGTTCCTGAAACAATTCTAAACAAACTTTGTCAACTTTTTTTTTTGATTGAATCAATAATTAAGGAGATAACCTCAAAATAATAATTTTTTTGAATTTTTCCGTTTTTATACATAATTATACTTAGATGCTTAATTAATAGAGATGTAAAAATTTTTTATTAAGATAATTGATTCAAAATCGAAATTGAAACAAATTTTATTTAAAACAATTTTTAATAAAAACAATAATTGTTGAGATAATTAATTTTGATAGCATACTATTCAGAGGGAAATTAAAATTTCAAATTAGCAAAAAATTGTTTTAACAAACACTGTTCCTGAAGTAATTCTAAACAAATTTTGTTAACAGAATTTTTTGATTAAATCAACAATAAGGATATAACCTCAAAAATATTAATTTTTGTAGCATACTATTCAGTGGGAAATTAAAATTTCAAATTAGAAAAAAATTATGTTAACAAAAATTGTTCCTGAAACAATTCTAAACAAACTTTGTCAAAAATTTTTTTTGGTTTAATCAATAATTAAGGAGATAACCTCAAAATAATAATTTTTTTGAATTTTTCCGTTTTTATACATAATTATACTTAGATGCTTAATTAATAGAGATGTAAAAATTTTTTATTAAGATAATTGATTCAAAATCGAAATTGAAACAAATTTTATTTAAAACATTTTTTAATAAAAACAATAATTGTTGAGATAATTAATTTTGATAGCATACTATTCAGAGGGAAATTAAAATTTCAAGTTAGCAAAAAATTGTTTTAACAAACACTGTTCCTGAAGTAATTCTAAACAAATTTTGTTAACAGAATTTTTTGATTTGATCAGTAATTAAGAACATAATCTCAAAAAAAATTTTATATATATATTTTTTTTATTGAGAAAATCGTTTTAGAACAACTTTTGTATGAAATTTTCTGCTGAGAACGAGTGGAGGGGGGAAATCGTATCGTTTTGTTACAAAAGTTCCGTGCCCTAGTTATAATATTATTGGATGAAAAGTTGAACGCTCTCAATTTTCGTTGTGTAGGTGAGGTGAAAGCATTTTAGATAACAAAAACCAATAAATTCGAGATATAAATTAAAATGTTAATTTAAAATAAGTTAGGCAATAAATTTTAAATAAAGGTTAAAATGTTTAAGAAATTTAAAGTTTTGTTGAAACTTAATTTCAAATTAATAAATATTAATTTCATTGAAATAAAAATAATCTCCTATAGAACTAACATCTGTACTTACTAACACAAAACCATTTAAGTCACTTTCTCATCACGTTTCGATCGTAAATAAAGAAATAAACACCAACCATTTGTATATAAAATTGACTTTCCGGACGATATATTTTCAAAAGATGTGTTAATAACCGCGTTTTTTCGAACGGGATGAGTTAAACATTTCATCACTCCCGGTGTGTATGTGGAAGAATTAAGCAAAACGGCGTATTCATGGTGAAACGAGCTACATCTAAGTCAATTATTACTAAAGAACTAGACCATTGTTGAGATTTAAGAATGGAACCATTGGAAAGGATTTTTCTTCTTCGTTTACTTAAGTGCATCATTAACATAAAAAAATTTTTGTTGAGAAATTTTAATTCTCACACAAAAATATAATCCAATTTAAAGTTTCATGATTCATCGAAAAATTATTTCATGATTTCGTATAACGCTAAATTGAAAATCATTACATAATTGTAAATGGAGTAAAGGTAAAGGTGTATCTAGTCGAGAAATTTCATTTAGAGATTTTTTTAGCTTTATATAGCAAAGTTTATGGGAGTCCATTGTGTGGGAATTGCAAGAGGAGAAATAACTTTGGCTACTTCGGAGTGCTGCTGAGTCTTCGCAGGTTGTCTCATTGCTCTCTATGAAACGAAAGTGAAACGTTTTAAAAAGAAAATTAATAAAATAACAATTTTAAAGTTTTGTAACATTATTCTTGCAAACAATTTTTTTTTCCATTTTTGAAAATTATGATTTTTGAAGGTTAATTTCACGTACTAAACTCATCAGAGTGTGAATGAAACGGCATCAAGCACCAACAGAAGCGGCATACAGCAAGGATACCCATTTTCGCAATCGCGAAACCGTCGGCGAACTTTCAAAATCCTCTCTGCCGCCACCATAATAGAGATCCTAATTAGAGTTAACCGTCCAACACCATGTATAAAAGCGTCCCCCCAAACCAACTCATCATCAGTACACATCCAAACACCATCCACTAAGAAACAACCCAAACATATAGATCATATCATCGATAAAATGTTTAAGGTGATAAAGATATAAAAATAGTTATACTATTCGGAAAATTTTTAATCAAATTCTTTTTAGATTGTTTCTGTGAGTGTCGTGATTTTCCTTGCGACGGTTAACGCCGGTGTTTTAGGCGGAAATTTCGAACACAATACATATGATATCGCCCAGGCTATAAATAATTTAGGTGGTGGGCATGGATATTCTTCGGAAGGTGGTCAAAGCAGTTACGGAAGTGGATCTGATTATGGATCTTCAAGTGGTTCCAACGAACAAAGTCACGAAGAAGATTATTACGTAATAAATAATTAATTTGGGAGTAAAGTAAACTTTACAATTCTTTTTTTAGACCCCTCCGAAATACGAATTTAAATACGGAGTGTCCGATCCACACACCGGAGACGAAAAATCTCACCAAGAAGTTCGCGAAGGCGGAGTCGTAAAAGGATCTTATTCTTTGGTAGAACCAGACGGTTCAGTTCGTACGGTTGAGTACACAGCCGATGATCATAATGGATTTAACGCGGTGGTTACGAAAAGTGGCCAATCTTCACATCCAGAAGGAAATTATGACGTTGGTGGTGGATATGACGAATATTATAAACATTAACGACGATTTTATTTACGGGTTAATTATTATATATGTTTGTGATATAAACTTGCGAAATTCAAATATAAAATAAAAAAATAAATTATGTACATAGTTTTCTTGTTGAATTTAAACTGTCAAATGTTGACAATTAGTTCTAGATCTGTCAAATTGACGTTTCATTTGAAGCGCCATTTATTACCACCCATTTTCAGCAATTCTAGAAATGTTTCTAAAAACGTTTTACGAGTTAACTACCTTACATCTGTATGTACATAGAAGTAAATCATTATGCTTGACAGATTTGCTAAATTTTAATTGAGCTTTAAAGAGTCATTATTGCAACCTGAGTTAACAAGTTTCATTCCTTCATATTAAGTATGTATGTTTGAGCACAAAACCTGCTGATAAATGATGCAATAGGAAGAGATATATGATGGAAAGTCTTCATTAGTGTGATCAACAAACCCATTTAATTGCTAGTGATGGATGGGGCTCCAGCTGTGGTAACGCAAAAGAATTTATTACTATCCCAATAAAAATACGCAATTCAGCAAACGTATGCACATTCCTTGATATCAATTTTTTGCCATTGATAGCTTATCTCGTTGAGAAAATGTTATACTTAAAAACTACTTTTTAAATCATTTCCTTTAAGTAAGATGGTTGAATTCTGCATAGGCACCAATGGTGTATGGTTATAAAATTCTGTGAAATGGTGTCTCGGTTTAGCCACTCTATTTTAGAACACACAACTGGTAAGTCAGATTTTACCATTTTTAGCACTCAAAACTTCATCAAAATTAGCTTAATCACTAACGTCCAGTATGATGGTTGGTGAATAGGAAGCTCTAGATAGCGCAAAAAGGGAACCTGAAGTATTCCATACAATTGTGGAACTACTCGGCGATATTTCCTTGGACATATTTATTTCTGATAATATTTGGAATATTTTGAATTAACTTAAAATTAAGCAAACCTTTACAAAAATTCTTGTAGAAATAGTAAAGTTCTTTAGAAATAAATTGATTCAGATGGTGTTAGTAATCTTGTCTCTGGTTAGGGCCTAATTCAGCTATTTTGCAAAGACATCATTATCTATTTTGCAACACAATCAGTGCAGCTCTATTGATTAAGGTTTTAAATTCCGAAAACATTTTCCCTTTAACCAAGTTATTGTCTTCGCCAAAAGCCAGTTTAGCTTATGTTGAAGGTAACTCTAGATCGGATCTTTTCAGTTATTATTATACTATGTGAGCTACATGCGGTCATAAATAGTGTACACGTGTCCCAAATTCGTTGCCAATATAAGCTATCTCCGAAACTAAAAGAGATAGAAAAAAAGTAGCTTACATGTCATGATCTCGTTTTTCGACAAACTGCTAATGCCGACAAGTCCAAACAGCTATCATCCTCTATTTTCATCCTATCGCCAAAAACGGAAAAATTTGCGAAATCGACTAACGCGAATAACCAAACCCAACCCAAAAAAAATAGGTAAACGACCTATTTATAAACTACTTTCATTTTTGATTTCATTGCTTCTTCGCAAAAAAAAACAATCCTAGGAATTATAGTAAGTTCTGAAAGCTCTAAGTTTATCACACCTTAAAACAAATAAGTTAAGAATATTTAAAAAAAAATTGTATATTTTATTTTGTTACTCTATTGAAAGTTCAGACATAATAAAATTAAAATCTAGGTTAGATTTTAAATTTTAGACTTATATAACCATATGTAAATCATTAATTAATTCATAAAAACTTCTAGTTCACATAACTTGCTAATTAAATTACTTACCTCTAATATAACCTTAAATTTATGTCTTAAATTTACATTCTTTATTCTCATTTTATTTACCTTTTTTTCCTCGTATTAGCGGAAATTAAATACAATACAAATTACACAATTCAATTTCTTTACAAAGATGAGATTTCATTCATAAAAGATAAAAGTCATCTCATTCGTATCTCATTCATAATGTTACGCAAAACTTGTAAACCCATTATTAAGTAATTAGCTTGTTAAGCGCGCTGTTGACCTTAAAAAAGATCAAGAAGAAACAAAATACATTAACTATTAAGTGTTTAATTGTTTAATCGTATTAAATATGGTGATTACTTTAATTGGGGTTTTAAACGGATACTTTAAATGTTACTGAGTGCTTGAATATTTTGAAGTGAAATATTTGCCGCGGTAAAATTAGAATAACTTATTGAAATAATTGTGGCGCAAAGAGAACCGGCACACGCACTTTCAAATATATGCAGCCGTAACCGAATTTAATAACGTTTTTATCAATTAATTCTCGCTCGACTGGCATTTAGTGAACGCCCGGTATAAATATCAACTCTGCACAACCGATTCGACAAGTAGTTCGACTGATTTAGTTTGATAAAGAACAAACAGACCTTATAAAAATTTAAACAAATTAAAAATGTTCAAAGTAAGTTTTTTTTATTTTCATTCTTATTTATTCATTATTTATTATTTTAGGTACTAGTATGTTTTTCTATCGTAGCTTACGTTTTAGCTACAGGAGACCAAGATTATTATGTAAGTTTTTTTGTTCATAAAATAATAATTTAAAAAATTTAATTATTTGTTGAAAGCGCCATCTCTTAAGGTTACGTTAAATTTACATAGTTAAGTAAATTGGGTTGCCTAAATTAACGTAAATTTCGTTTTATTTTTATAGGCACCTCCAAAATATGAATTTCAATACGGCGTACAAGACAAACACACTGGGGATAATAAACAACAACAAGAACAACGTCAAGGAGATAAAGTAACCGGTTCGTATTCTTTCCTTGAAGCCGATGGAACGCGCAGAATTGTTCATTACGAAGCTGATGATCATAATGGATTTAATGCACGCGTTGAAAGGGTTGGACACGCGCAACATCCTCAACATTACCGTACAAATGATGGACAATACTTTGGGCAAGGTCACCAATAAAACTAAAGCTAAAAAACAAATTGAAAAATGTTCTTCGTTTCGGTTGATGATTGTTTGATTTTTCTTTGCGTTGCGAATGTACATAGTTAGTAGTTAGTATAATCATCCGTTGTGCGAGATCTAATTGTTGTTGATGGTCTGTTTATGTTTCTTTTTTATGGAAAATAAATTATGTTTTTTATTGTTCGAAACTACCAATTTTAACTAAACTTAAAAAAAAAATATTAAAAATCATCCTGAATTTATTTATTCATTTCTTTAACCTTATCATTACTTTTATATAAGAACTTATTTTGGTTTAAATTTTAAGTGGTATGTTATCGCGATACGTGTAAATTGTAATTAATTAAGTTTAATTAGTCCTTCCGTACGTGAGTCGATGTTTATAATGGGTTAGTCGGATTAAAAAGATTAAAATTAAACAGGTAGCACTTTAACGGGGCGTTTTCAACGAGCGCAAAACTCCGTGTTGCGCAAAATCGATAAAAATAATCCGAAACGTATTTACAACGTTCTTCGACCTAAATACCATAACAATTAGACCTGGAGCAAGTTTTAGTTTTCATATTTCTTTCCAAATAAAACATCAAAGTTGATGTTGATTTTATATTTTTTGTATTTATTTTTGTTATTGAATACTATTTAAAAGGATTCTTACGTAATTGAACATATTGGAACGGTCGCCTTCCGTCATCGTTGACATAAATTATGTCGATCCAGTTTTCTTTAAAGTTTAGACTTTTTTTTTTTCTTCGTCCCATACTAGATCAATTTAACGGCCGTTATAAATCTTTGAGGAAAAATTAATAAAGCTATTCGGGATTTCTCAACTATAACTAAATGAAATCGATAACCATCTATATCGAGCAAGATTTAAGTGTTACTATTTAATTAATTTATTAAAGCTCTTTCGGTATCGTTAACACAATAGCATATTCATTTCAATTTATGAAAGGTACTTAAATTCTCCATCAAAAAATCTCTAGCAACATTCATTTATCGTTAACGTTACGTAATAGATTGTTACATAAAATATATTTCACTCTATTCACAAACTCAAAGCCCATCCGAAATAATTTTTTTATGAACCTAATTTAATTAAAGGAAACCGCCTTTACAGGAGCACTACTAACGACGGTTGATGTAATTCGGAAGCCAAATTGGATGAAAAAACGGTTATAATTTTTTTATCTTTAATCTAATTTGAAATCCGTGATGTTAAGTAATAAAAAATTGTTTGTGAAGTAGTATTTTTTGTTGACCACAGACAATGGTCCTAATGAATAAAATTTTAGCAATTGCTTTAAGCAATCGCTTTTTAGGAAAAGCAATTGCTTCACAAGTAAAAGCTATGGCTAGATTATCACGTGAATAAAATTTTTAAGCAAATGCTGCCGTTCCTACACCTCTATAGCAATTGCTTATTCGAACAGGTCTCAACCTGTAAATTTAGATATGTAGTTCAACTTTTACTACTGTGTTGACGTTAATACAACACCGTGGGTTAAATAACGTTAATAAAACAACATTTTGTGCCATGGCAGATTCTAGTGGAAATGAGGAATTTAACAATGATGAAGAAATTGATAAGCGATTAATATTTGTCCACAAATTGAAGGAACATAAAATTGTTCTTAACAAATCACAGGCTCCTCAAATTAAAATCGAAAAGGAGGCCGCTTTAAACGTGTTAGTGTAACAATATAGAGAAATTTTTAATGTGTCACTTATAACAAAACAATTATCCAAAAAAATTAATATCGTGAAAACCGAAATAAAAAAGAAGTTCGACATTAATAAGACAAGCAATAAAGGTACAGTATATAAACCTTGAGAAAAATTATTATTAGACATATTGGATGTACATAAGAATCCCGTTTTTAAAAAAAATCCGAACGTGGAAATGCCCGATTCGAAATCTTTTTTGAATTCCGCTAAAACGCCAAAATATTGCGAAGGTACACGAAAATAATACAAAAATGACCTTCTTTAAGCGGTCATAACTCGTAAACCATGTACAGGGTGTCCCAATTGCTATCTCCGAAACTAAAAGAGATAAAAAAAAGTAGCTTACATGTCATGATCTTGTTTTTCGAGAAAATGCTAATGCCGAAAACTCCGAACAGCTATCGTCTTTTGTTTTCGCTCTATCGGCAAAAACTGAAAATTTTGCGAAAATGACATTCGCGAATATCTCATTTATTATCAAAGATGGAGTATTATAAATAAAACATTATATGGGCAACTTTTTACGAAGAATTCAGTGGCGTAGGTAGAATTTTTTTCCCATCTTTTATTTTCGAGATTTTAGACGTAACTTTATTTCTTTAAATGAAAACCATAGTTGGCTACGACCTAAAATAATTTGTTATTTTCTTCTGATAACAAATATATATAGTTTGTGGGGTATATTTCTTATAGTTATTGAATAATTAACAATAATTCATTTTATTCTATCTAAAACTAATGTATGTATTTAAAAGTTAATGTTGCTATGGTGATAACCATGATATACTATGATGGAACATGATGTATCAAATAATTGCCAAAGTTTGTATTTAAAAATTCCATAACAACTCTGGCATTATGAGCTGGTATGATGCATCAGCATGTTAGGTGTCAAAGTATAACAAAACTAAATAAAACTTTACAATGAACTTCGAAAATTATGAAAATGTAACATGATGGAATGCTATATGTTATCAGATAAGAATGTGACGTTAGCCGCGGAATTATATTTCACAAGTTATCCGGAAAGAAGACAACCGCACGTAAGAACCTTCAGCCGGTTAGCAGAAAATTTAATAGATTTTTGGTCCATCCCCAAACCACGTGCAAAAACATACCAAAATGGCCTGCAAGAGGATGAAGTCAATGTGTTGGCTTCACTTGCGATAAATCCATCAACATCTTGCAGAGAAATTGAACAAGACGTCTGACCCAAANTGTTAGTTGAAGAAGTTGAGAAAGAGCAGGGTGTTATTGAATGTAAGACGACTAACAAACTGTCGACTTGCGAAAAGGTGAGTGACTATATAAAATAATGTTGTATAATATTGAAATATGACTTATATTGTGTGTCTCGTGTTGTTATTTGTAGGAGCAGGCATGGGCACGAATAGAGTTGAATTTTAATTCAAAGAGTACACACTGTCGCAGCATCGATCAGCTGAAAGCGAAGTACGATAATCTGAAAACAAAAGCAAGGAAAGCTGTGGCAAGAAATCGGAGTAATCTCACTGTAACTGGTGGCGGTCCCGCAAGTAGCACAGATTTTGATCCGGTAGTGGAAGCTGTGTTAAGAATTGTAAATATCAAAACGGTAATTGGCTTAGGAGGGCAATTTGACAGCGATAATGTAATTATTTGCTTTTCACTATATAACAAACATAATATATTACATATAGTACAGTAAAATGATTGCAGTAATATTTTACAGATAGGAGATATTTCAGTAGAATACGTGGAAATTCCACCAACTCCAGCGACAGAAGCAAGTGAGGTTCCGGTGTCGTGTCAGACTATGGTAATGTAAATTACTGTAGGTCATGAAGTTGCTCGTAATAATAAACATGTTTTTTTTAGGAGAGTTGCGTAAGTGAATTGTGCGCTCCTAGAAATGATGTTACCGAGTCAATGAATCCTATAACTGTACAGGTATAAAATATCCATATTTTATTTACTGTTTTTACTAACATCATATTATGTTTTCTAGAGTATAGTCGATACTCCACAGGTGAAAAAGGTATATCTATATGTATCGTCGGCATAATCTGCAAAACCCGTAAGTCTACCTTTTTTATATGTGACTTACGGGTTTTGCGGAATGATTATAGAGACGTTCAAGTTGGAACCAGTACGTGCCCCGTAAATTAAAAGATCCAGTTTCTAAAAAACTGAGGTTAACCATACCAAATCCTCTAGTAGATACAAAGATAATTTATTATGAAGCTAAAACTTTATATCTAACAATAAGAGGGGAAATTGATGCACAACAGCAAAGGGCGGAAAGAGAGAAAAATAAAGAAGAAAGAGAGAAGAAAGAAGAAGAAAGGAGAAATGAAGAATTTAAAATGAGAATACGTTTATTGGAATTGGAAATAGCTCAAAAACAGAAAGATTTGACTAAATAATTAACACATGAAACTGTATACGATATATATATATATATATATATATGAAATATATATTATTTATAAAAAGTTCAAGTCTACCAAAATGTTCATTAATAAGCAACTGCCTCACACCTCGACCCCTACCCTCAACCCTTTCTACGTAATGATCGTCATCCTGTTCAATTTCGTCTTCGTCTGCGTTAAATGGATTGGTCCATTCTCCAGGAATACTCTCATTCATGTCTATGGCCATATTATGTAGTACTGCAGTCGCAACTATCACATTCATTGTTGTTTCTATCTGCAGCCTCATGCATAAACTTAAAATTGGAAATCTTCTTTTCCACACTCCATATTGACGTTCAACCACATTCCGTGTTCTGATACTCGATTCATTGTACAAGTTCTCAGCTGGTGTTTGTACTTGTTGATGTGAAGGTATCATAAGGTATGGATTAATTTTATAGCCACTATCTCCAACAAGCATATATCGTCCATACATCCCATTTTGAAAGGCTTCTTTTAAACTACTGTTGTTAAATATGGTTTGGTCGTGACACGAACCAGGCCACCTCGCAACAATATTCCGAATTTTTAAACGTGCGTCAGAAACTGTCTGCACATTCAGTGCAAAAAAACCTTTNATAAGTGAGATATTCGCGATTGTCGTTTTCGCAAAATTTTCAGTTTTTGCCGATAGGGCGAAAACAAAAGACGATAGCTGTTCGGAGTTTTCGGCATTAGCATTTTCTCGAAAAACGAGATCATGACATGTAAGCTACTTTTTTTCTATCTCTTTTAGTTTCGGAGATAGCCTATGTGGACATCGAAATTGGGACACCCTGTACATAAGAATCCCGTTTTAAAAAAAAATCCAAACGTGGAAATGCCCGATTCGAAATCTTTTTCGAATTCGGCTAAAAGGCCAAAATATTGCGAAGGTACACGAAAATAATACAAAAATGACCTTCTTTAAGCGGTCATAACTCGTAAACCATGTACTCGATTATCAAGATCTGTACGTCATTCAATTCGCCATAGTTTCTTCTATCGAAATCACAAAATGCCCTAATGGCATTTAAATGGCTAAATGCAGTTATTGAAATACCCGATTCGACATATTTAATAATATTTAATCATACACATCAATTATCTCCTTAATTAATTGATCAATTTTAGTCATCAACGTCTCGATCGAAAGTATGATCCACAATGAATGCGAAGCCGGAAATGTCCGATCTCAAAATTTACTAATTACCTACGTACGGTTATTTAAATGCCTTCACGTATCTCCCGACTGAAAGTCTAAGCGTTCAAACGGTTTTTATCTGGCAACATTACACCGTTCAAATCGCGAATTATCTTGATATGTTTCGGTAAATTAATAAAATTGAAAACGACTCACCGAATGGATGTTGTTTCCCTTGGATTTTATTTTGAAGCTCAGCTGGAAAGAAAAGATAAATTATTCATTGTGACAAAAAAAAATGCATAAATACGATACCTTTTAACATCCATAAAATAGTAATCCGATGATCTCAACTATATCACATCACTAGTACCACCTAACACTTGGAATAAATATAGCACGTATTTTATCACTTCATTCAAGTAATAAGGTTTATTTTTCTAAACTGCTTTATCACCCTTAAAACCCGCACATAAACTAAAATGCGTTATTAGCGAATCATCTTCCAAACATCCCCTCCTTAATTTATTGTGTGAAGAAGGAATACTAGAGGTGGTTAAACAAAAAATGTAAAGACGACGGGACGAAGCGGTTTTAAATCGCAATAAAAAAATTACTCGTTTTCTGGAAACATTTCAAATAAAACTTACATCATTTTATTATAATAAAACGCACTACCGAATTTTAATGGTTAACACTTCCTGCAAAAGAATCAGGTGTCCAATAAATAATTAAAACAAAGCACCCAAGACATTATGGATTATGGATATGCCTTATTCTTTGTGTCATGAAATATAAATTTAAAAAAAATCGTATCTCAAGAACGAATTGAGATATCATAATGAAATAAAAAACAGTTTAAAGCAAATTTAATGAAGATTTAATGTACCATAAATGTTATGATTTTTTAAATCCAACTCTGTATATTTGAATGTTATAGATATGAAATATAAATTTTGAAAAAACCATCTCTTTTTTATGCAAAAAAATCATGAGGTACGTCTCTTAAGACGGCTAAACCCGAAAGTGCTCAACTTTAAGCTTTCATTTAGTATCAAAACCATCTTCATAAATAAACTAGATGTGATTTATTAAAATTTGACAGATTTTATAGAATAAAAATTTTTTGGTTTAATCATTTTGTAAAATTAACTTTTTATTTCTTGCTCGTGCTTTCAATTAGTCGTTGGGAATTGGCGGTGAAAAATGGTTATTGTCAATATTGGTAATGGAAATCGTTAATAATTACCGACACTTAAAGCGCATATTAAAGTGATTTATAGTCGTGTTGCAATCGAGGACAAGATGTTTTCAGTTTTAAGAGTAAGAAGAATTTATTTTTTTTGTTTGTTTTCAGTGAAAGCTAAATATTTCGGGTTTAACGAGAAAATCCAATTTAAACCGTATCATTCTCTATCTCGTCTTGTTTATTTCTTTCTTAATTCCGTTTTAAAATAAAAAAGAAAACGTCCAACGAATGTAACGGATCGACTTTTTAATTCACATTGACGTGATCGTTATAATTTTTAATATGCTAATCTTTAAAACGGTTAAGATAATTATCTTTGTTTGTGTTGACAGGTCGACAAGTTAAAAAAATCCAGATTAAAATCGTTTGTAAGAAAATTGTTCTTAAATTAAAAGTTTTGAACCAACTTATTTTTCCTGACATAAACGCACGTTCTGTGAAATAAGGAGTGTCCGTTTTCAATTCAAACATTTTAAAACGTTCGTTTTTCTTAAATCGTTAAAGTGGCCGTTTTTGCACCGGTTTATTGTCGTCATTTTACATAATCCGACGGCAACGGACATTTGAGGCTCGCAGAATGACAACCGCATTAGATAAGAGAGAACCGAAAGCAAACCCAAGAAAACTGAAAGCTCCTTGATGACTGTATTAACTCGAGAAAACTGAATTATTCATTAAGTGTTTCACTTCCACAACAAATTTATTACTGTATCATAATATGTGCGATTCTTAAAGCTTAAAACTTTTATTTCTTATTTTATCTTTATTCGTTATAGAAAAAGTCAGACTCACGACTCAGGATCTTTGTTGAGTTCGTGTTTTTTGTTTTCATTTTAAATGTTTAAAGGCGTGGTTGTTACACACACAATTTTTACATGTGCGTAACGGTGCGTGAAATATTAGTCGATGGATATATTTATAAATTTACATTCTTTTTTGTTACTCAACATCTAAATTCTTCCTTTAAAAAAATAAGCATTTTACCATTATCTTGGACACCCACGGTGTAACCCAGAAAGTAACACTCTCTAAACAGGCATAGTGTAAAGTACATAAATACGTGTAAAATGGACGGTGTAATAACAATAAAGACTAATTCAATTTCGAACGGCGGAGAACGAGAGCAATTTCGAAACGCCTATTTAGTAATACGATTTTAAAACCTTCCAAGTTTTAAAAGAATTTTTTACGCTCCTTATAAGTAATTCTACACCTTCATTCTTTTTATAGAATTGAATATGAAACATATGGATAATTTTTTGTATTTTTAAATAATCGATGCTATTTGTAATATAAAATTATTTTTTAAGATGGTTCTGATACTAAAAGAAAGTTTAAACCGTGCACTTTTAAACGATATATTTTGCTCATAGGTTTGTTTGAAAAACAAGCCAGAATAATTTGTTAACGGTGCACTATAACGTAACAAAACTGCTGTCAAATTTAAAAAAATCATACATAAATGGCTTATTTTTGAAGATTAAGAGATGATTCTGATACTAAAAGAAAGCTTAAAGTTTACACTTTTAAACGATATATAATACTCATAGGTTTGCTTGGTAAATTAGCCAAAATATTTTTTTTATGGTAACTACATATGTCCACTATAATCTAACAAAACCGCTGTTAACTTTAAAAAAACATAAAAAAGCTTATTTTTGAAGATTAATATATGACTTTCATATAAAATTAAAGCTTACATTTTTTTCTATAAAATGATGTCGAACAATCTTTGATTATATATAATATGGATTGAGCCAACGAGAGAGATAGCTTGCGCAAGGTGATCGAATCGAGATAGACATAGAAGCGTACTGACATATAATGGACGTGCGTTAATTTATAAGATAAAAAACTATCAATTAGAAGTAACATTTATAATGCTTACAGGTGATGTGAAACTGTATTATCGTGAACTTTGCACACGAAACAATACATTTTTAAACATAACGGTGTGACTGGCTGTGACACAACAAAACGATAAACGTCAAATGGAAGAGGTTTGACACTTTTGTGCGCATGCGCCCGTCTGTTTAGTACCGTTTTATGTCTATCTTTGTTACACTTTCACATTATCGCTTTCCATCTGCGTCTATTCACCTTGAGCCACATTTTTGTTAGTAGATATATTCAGTTAGCTCAATCCATATTATATATAATCAAAGACTTGATCACAC